TCCTGGGGAAGGCACCGACGTCACCACTGCACCCAGCTCACACGCAGGCTGTGTCATAAGGCACACACAGCAAAACACGGCACATGCTGGGGACACACCCACTCACAGACAGGCTGGCAGAGGCGCCCCCACAGTTGGAGTCCTTGGCGTGGACCCATATTCCCGGCCACTCCCAAGAAGAGAATCCTTTTAATTGCTCCTGGAGGTCATTCTATCCTCTACCACCCCACAGCCCCCAAATGTCTCCCCTGTAAAGGGGAAGTGACTGGTTGAGGAGCCCACACTTTGGGATGGGAAGGGACTGGAAGGGAAAACAACTGCTTCAGACTAATGTTTGCTCAGCAGCAACGTGAAGTGTTCCTGTGGGCAGGGAGCTGGGGCCCTGGTATTTGGCTTGATGCTGCTGCTGGGTTGGTGGAAGGCTTATCCTGGGGTTGAGATCTATTGAGAGTGTGTTCTCTTTGCCAAGGAAGGAGTGAAGAGGGTAAATCCTTTATGGGGGAGGGGGGAGGAAGGGGAGGCAAAGGTCTGTTTCCTGTGGAAACAGCACATGGCTGGGGGAAGGAGTTTCCTGGGCTGCTCGTTCCCAATCCCCTAGAGTTGTGCTTCTCTCACCAGGCTCCAAGCAGGAGAGCCCCTTAATAACAACAAAGATAATAATAGCAACTGCCAGCTACTATGCATCAGCCGTATGCAGGGCTCCCTGTGCAGGGTTCCCTGTGCTAACCACTTGCCCCCACATGTTGCTATGTTTGTTCTTCCCCATGGCTACCTGCCCAGTCATGCAGCTACTATTATGGCTGTGGTGGGGCTGGAGTCTTCATACTGCATATTCTAGAGCCTGTGTTTGTTGTCATTATACCCTGCTGACCCCTCCTCCTTCATTTTGTCTCCTCTTCCAAGTAGGTAGAGGGCTCTGAGCCCTGACATTGCGGGGACTTACTGCATCTTTCCCCAGTACTGACCCACAACCCTGTGATTTGTTCCTCCCCAGGCCTTATACAGCTCCATCAAGAATGAGAAGCTGCAGTGGGCCATGTGAGTCCTGGGGCCACGAGGTGGGGTTAGGGTTGGGCCATGAGGAAGGGATTACCTGGGGAGGCCAGGAGTCCAGGGCTATGGGTACAGGGGAGAGATCATGTGTGAGAGAGAGGCCTTAAGAGGTCATGAGGCTGCTTCACTTCCTTTTTTGGAGATGCTTGTCTAGACTTGGGGGTCTGGCTTGTCTCTGGCTGGGTTGTTATTCTAAGCTGGATTGGAACAAAAGAGGGGTACTGAGCCATAGAAGGAGGTCCCCTGGCAGCCTGAGGAAAAGCAGATGTTTCTGGAAGTATAGCCCTACGCAGTAGCATGGGAGACTCCTTCTCAAGTCTGAGGGAGTCCAGATATCAGAGAACAAGGAGCTATGTCCCTTTTGGGTAGAACCAGAGACTCCGTCTTGGAAGAGCCCAGCCTGAGGCAGGAAGTCTAGTTTTGGCCTTGGGCCCCTAGTCTGACAGTTGAGCCCTCCCTTAAACATCAGTAAATGGCTTGTATTTGCTCTTTCTACTGTGTCAGGTCACTGCTGAGTTTAGTTGGTAGTGCTCAGGATTAGGGTAGAGGGGAGGCTTTCAGGAGACTGAGACAGACAAACCTTAATGGAGGGGAAGCATTTGGGGGGAGGAAATAAGTTGGTATTTGTGAGACAAAGAAATGGATAAAGTGAGTGTGGAATGGGGAAATGGAGGCAGGCCTTGCAGGAATGGCTTATAGTGGTATTGGGGAGATGTGACGTTGGCAGAGCAGTGGAAGCTACTGCAGGTTCTCTGCCAAGGAAGTGACCAGACAGAATCTCACGTTTTTCTTATCTGACAGAGCTTGTTGACCAGGATGTTGGGGAGCAGGGGGTGGGGTGGGGTGGGGGTGCGTGAGGAAGCTGTTTCTTCCTTTTGTCACCATTTAGCCAACCATCTATGAGCAAAGTCTAGTGCTAGGTGTGGTTAAGACATAACTGAGTCAGACGTGTGGGTCCTAGTGAAGGATGTGAGAGTCAGTGTGAGAAGTGGAGAGAATGGGAAATGTTCCATATGAGGAGAAGGCCCAGCTGTGGCCCTTTCCTGGGAGCAATAATCAGCCTTAAGGACTACTACCTTGACATGGCAGAGCACTCCTTAGCAAATCCCAAGCCCTGGGGGGGGGGAGCAGAAATCAGGGCCCATGGGCTTTGTGGCTCCATGGCCAGCCACCTGAGGTAATCACACCTGCAGAGACGAGGAGGAGCTGAGGCGCTCTCTATCTGAGTTGGCTGACCCCAACCCCAAGGTCATCAAGAGGGTCAGTGGGGGCAGTGGCAGCGGCTCCAGCCCTTTCCTGGACCTGACCCCCGAGCCTGGGGCCGCCGTCTACAAGCACGGAACCCTGGTGCGAAAGGTGCACGCAGACCCTGACTGCAGGAAGAGTATGTGGCCGGGTGTGAGGGTGGGGTGGGGGTGGAGGGGTGTGGGCCTGCCCTAGGCCTCCATGACCTGCTTTACTTCCTGCAGCGCCTCGGGGCAAGAGGGGCTGGAAGAGCTTCCACGGGATTCTCAAGGGCATGATCCTCTACCTCCAGAAGGTGCGAGGGGGGGGGCAGACTTAGGGATTGGGGTCTTTATTGGCTTGGGAGAGGGAAACTGGTGTCCAGGATCGGACCAGGCTGGGGCTGGGGCAAGACAAGATTGGCACCCCTGCAGGAGGAGTACCAGCCTGGGAAGGCTCTTTCTGAGGTGGAGCTGAAGAATGCCATCAGCATCCACCACGCCCTGGCCACCCGTGCCAGCGACTACAGCAAGAGACCACATGTCTTCTACCTGCGCACAGCTGACTGGCGGGTCTTCCTCTTCCAGGCTCCGTAAGTGCCAGACCATGCACCCCAACTCCCACCTTCCTCCATGGCCTCCTTCCTTCTCTCGCCATGTGCTAAGCATGGACTGGGCATTCCTGGACAGGAGCCCTAGGCCCAGGATCCTAGGCGCTGTGCTGTCTCTCTAGGAGCCTGGAGCAGATGCAGTCCTGGATCACTCGCATTAATGTGGTGGCCGCCATGTTCTCTGCGCCTCCCTTCCCAGCTGCTGTTAGTTCCCAAAAGAAGTTCAGCCGCCCTCTGCTACCCAGCGCCGCCACCCGCCTCTCCCAGGTAGCCACAGCCCCCCTGGGTCACAGTGACGGTGGGTTAGAGTGGGGCAGGCCCAGGCCGCTGTACTCTAGGCTGTGTATTGTTAGGTACCTGTCTAGTACATCCCTATACTGGCCAGCCGAGGCTGAAATCTGGCCCCAGAGCGGCGTGCCAAGCTGGAAAACCCTGACATGGTGCTTTGCTTGTTCAAAGGGGCACCTTGTCAAAATCTGCACGAAGAGCTGAGTGTTGGTAGCTTATGCCTGTAATCCTAGCTACTTAGGAGGCTGAGATCTGAGGATCATGCTTTGAAGGCAGCTTGGGCAGAAAAGTCTGAGAGATTCTGTCTTCAACTGACTAGGAAAATGCTGGATTGGAAGCATGGTGCAAGTGGGAGAGCACTAGTCTTGAGTGAAAAAGCTGAGTAAGAGTGCAAGGCCTTGAGTTTAAGCCTTTATACCAGCACAAAACAAACTGCAGATACTACAGACTGTGCAGACTAGTGACACTGATCAGGCTCCTCTGGCTGCTAGGAGGAGCAGGTTCGGACCCATGAGGCCAAGTTGAAGGCCATGGCAAATGAGTTGCGTGAGCACAGAGCCACCCTGCTGGGGAAGAAGGCCCGAGGCAAGGAGGCTGACGAACAGCGGCAGAAGGAGGCCTACCTGGAGTTTGAGGTAAGGACATTCTCCCTGCCTGGCACCTTGGTGTCCCCCAGAAGGCCCAGCCCTAGGAACGTGACCAGCTGGGTGACCTTGGGTAGGTTTTTTGAGCTTTAGGTTTGTCTTCTGGGGAACGAAGCTAAGATTCCACACCTATTAGGTAAGGAGTGGCATGCATGTCAAATGTTCCATGCCCCTAGGTCCTGAGAGCCTGTCTAGAGCCTATCTGTGAGGTGGGGGGGGGGAGCGAGGGAGGAGAGCAGGCTCTTATGGCCTTTGGCCTTTTTCTCAGAAATCCCGCTATGGCACCTACGCGGCGCTGCTCCGGGTCAAACTGAAGGCAGCCAGTGAAGAGCTGGATGCCATAGAGGCAGCCCTGGCCCAGGCTGGAAGCACGGAGGATGGACTCCCCCTGCCTCACTCCAGTCCCTCTCTGCGGCCCAACCTACCTAGCCAGCCCCGGGTCTCTCGGTCCAGCTCAGAGGCCCGATCAGGCAGCGCGAGGAGAAAACCCTGAGCAGGGAGTGGAGCTCAGGTGGCGGTGCCCGCTGTGGCACCTGCATGATGACACGGCCCTGCCTGGCTCGGGCCACCCACAAGGGCCTTCTGGCCCAGGGCCCGACCGCGCCGGACGCGGTGTCCGGGGCAGGGCAGGGCTGGCCAAGGGCCGCAGGAGCCTAGGCTAAGGGCCTCTCCGAGACCCCCTTTTTGTGATAATGTTTTGCACTTTTTGGTACAGGGTGGGTGGGGGTGGGAGGGGCCAGGGCCCCTGAACTTTTGATGTGGTCTTTCTTTCTTTTTCTTTCTTTTCTTTCTTTCTTTTTTTTTTTTGTGGGGGAGGCCTGATGACATTTCTGCTTTTTGCTGAGACCACCCACCCTGACACCAGCAACCCCTCTGTTCTGGTGCCTGCCAGGAATGGGGGCTGAGCTGGTTTCCCTCCTTCTCCCCAAGGGCTCCCCCTTCTGTTTCCAGAAGTGGAGAAAGGGCGTCCGTGTGGAGACCCCATCCACAGGCTTGAGCGGCACAGCCTGCTTGCCTCCCTCCATGGGCCCTGCCCTTTGTACAGCCTCCACCCTCATTAAAACTGCTCTGAATTGCCAGCTGGGCCTCCTTCTGTACTCTCAGCTTGGGGCCAGCACCGGAAGCTGCTTCCAGAGACACGAGTCCTATCAGAGGAGTCATACTAAAAAATGGCTGCCAGCAGTTGGGAAAAGAGTCCTCCACTTCCCATGAAATCCTTTATTCACCTCAGCTGAGGTGTAGACATGAGCTGTTAAATAAGATTGGGACTAAATGAAGATGCTGTACAGAGGGGTCCGGGAAGAGGGGTGGAGGGTGGGCAGCAGTTCAGTGCACCTGAGGCTGGGGGTGCCCATGAGAAAGCCCTCCTGGGGGCTCAGGGGGGGGACCCAGCTTCTCCGCCTCGTCCTCCTTCACTGACTGGCTCTCATAGGCACTGTCTTCCTTCACTTCTGCTAGGGCGACACAGGGGAAAAGAGCTGGAGAGTGAAGGCCCCAGGCCTCCCATCCCAGGCCCAAATCCACCTTCCAGGTCTTCCCCTTTACCTGTTGTACTGGGCAGCTTGTCTTGGGACTCAGGACCTGTCAGCAGTTTCACTCCCTCATCTAGACCCATATCAGACAGGGCATCCAGCAGACCTGCTAGGTCCCCACCAGCCAGCTGAAAAGGAAGAGGCAGGAGGTCTGAGTGAAGCTTAGAGTGTAGGGTTGGGAACCCTGGAGCCAAGAACACAGGAAAGGCAGGGAAGGTAGCTGGGGGCTTGGTAAGGTACAGGCCAGCCCCACCTTATAACTGCGCAGGAGGCTGCCACTGGGTGAGGCCGTCTTCCGGTATGTGTCCACCACACTGCGAAGCCCCAGCCGCTCTGCCAGCTCTGCCCAGCTGCCCTGGGCTTCTGGCCCATCTAGTAGCTGCTCCAGGTTCTGCAGAGTTGCATCCCCGAGTGACAGCTCTGACTCTGAGGGGACACAGACATGTCAGTTCTTTGAGGTGAGCGGAAACACAGATACCAGGAAGCTGCTTTTCTCCCTGGTAACCTGACAGACAAGACAGACGGTCATGGGCAACAAATGGAAACTAAGGGTGGAGAAAAGGGAGCCTCTACCTTCTGAAGCGGGGTGAGGAAGCATCTAGGATTTAGAAATACCTCACCTTTTGGGCTGGGTGGGGCCAGCGGGGGCTCCATGGTGTTCTGAGCAGCATTTAGTAGCAAAGTCTTCACCTGGGGGGCGGGGGAGACAGCTTTGACTACCTCCTCATCCTTAAGCCCACAGTGTGTTCCCCAATCTCAAGCCCAGGAGGTGCCTGGTGCCCTAGTGCAGCTACTGCCAGGCTGGCCTCCTTACCTTGGTGCTGTGAGTGAGATCAAGAGGCGTGTGACCCCGGAAGCTGTTTTGGGTGTCACTCTCAGGCCCTTCAGAGTCTGAGTCACTCCCAGAGGTAGGGGGTGAGGGAATTGGGCACAGGGGCTCCTCGTTCTCAGCGTGGATGTCAGCACCTAGGAGATAGACAGTCACTAAGAAGGGACAGTGGGGGACCATATGAAGGGCTGCGAGGTAGGGGAACCGGGTGACACACTTTTCATCCCTTGGCCTCTGAGGGTAACTGACCAGCCTTTAGAAGGAGGCGTGTGAGGGTTGGGGATCCCAGTCCAGCTGCCAGGTGGAGGGGTGTGTTTCCAGCAAAAGTCCGGGCGTTCACGTTGGCATGAAGCTGTGGAATGCCAAGAGAGTGGGTAACCCCCCAGCATGGTCCAAGGATCCAGCCCTACACACACTCCTCTTCCCTCTAGGTCCCCCCTAGCCCCAAGCCACCCCTTCGATAATCTTCATTCTCACCTTGGTGACCAGATAGGTGACCAACCCCAGCTCCTCCATCTCTGTTGCTAGATGCAGGGCTGTCCGCCCCCCCTGCCTCTCTGCAGCCTCTACTTCAGCCCCATTATCCACCAGCAGATCCAGGCACTCAGGGCTTCTGGCCCGAACTGCCAGGTGTATTGGGTACAGTCCTACGGGAAACAGTGTATCCAGTCTGCAGCTGTGACACCAAAGTAGCCCCTGAGCAGCCTGACTAGTCAACCTTGATGCTGCTTGTCTACTCACCAGATGCCCTCCCTGCTCCCCACCTCTGGCCCAGAAGAGATAGAGAACTTACCTTCAAAATCAGGCATGTGCAACATTTTGGGGACAGTAGGAGCCCCGCTGCACAGCAGTGCACGTAACAGGTCTGGGGCCCCGGCACCTGCCCGCAGTGCCAGGTGCACCGCCGAGTCTCCGTGCCGATCCAGCAGTGCTGGGTCCGCACCCACCTGCAACAGGAAGCTCACCACCTTTGTCTGCCCAGTGATCACTGCCAGATGCAGGGGCGTCTGGGGAAGAAGATAGGCTGAGCCAGGCTCACACAGCTTAGGATACCTCCCAGCCCATCTCCCCTCACAGCAGCTGCCCCTCACCTGGTGCAGGTGGTTGGTGATGTTGACCATGCCCAGGTGCTGGGCATGGTAGATGACATGGACTATCTGCTCAAAGACGTTGGTCTGCCCATGGATGATGGCCAGGTGCAGTGGCCTGGAGGGTGGGAAGTGAGATTCTAGCCTACTAAGTCCAGGCACTCGGCATCCTCGGCCCTCAGAATCCCACTGTCTCATAGGCTCCTGCACTGGAGCCTGTTGAACCTGGATCATCACTGTACTTGAACTTAATCTTTCCTGCACCTTCTTTGGGGTAGTTACTATTGTTCTGCCCTCTGTCACGGTTTGGAGAGATTAGGTACCATGAACAGAACTAGAACACAGCAAGGTCTGACTTTAAGACCTGGTTTATTCAACTCTAGGGTCCGGCTCTTTGCTGGTCCCTCCCCTGCCCCAACTCCCTGCCTCTGGACTCCAGCCTCCCTTCCACTCCCCCACTCCCCATTCGTGCCGCTTACGTGTCTCCGTTCTCATCCTGCGCCGCCAGGAGGTGGCGCTGTCCTGCCAGCAGCGCGCGCGCATCGGCGGTGATGCCGTAGTCCAGCAGGGCGCGGGCGCTGCGCTGCGTCAGGCCAAACAGGCGCGCGTTGTACTCGCGGGCTGGGGACGACACACAGTGTGGGTGCCCTATAGGCCCTGGCCCCGTGTCTCCCCCGCACTCGGGAGTCCATACCTTGCTGCAGCGCGTCGGGAGCCTCAGGTTCCCCTTGCGGGGTGCCGGGCTCGGCCGCTTCCTCACCAGCATCCCCGCTGGGCGCCCCCACCGCCATCTGCGCCCCGCCCCCGCCGCCCGGGTAGCACCCCATTGGGGCTGCGCCGGACTGGTAGGGGCTGTAGGCCAAGGAGGAGGGGAAAAAGCCAAGGCTGCCACCTGTGGGTACAGACCAGGCTGTAGGGAGCAAGGCATTAGCCAGGACTCTCCCAGATTTCTCCTCTCCCACACTTCTCTTCCCATCTCGGGGTCACCAGAACCCCCTCACCTCCTCCGGCTCCTCCATAACCTCCAGCCGAGCCCCCAGAGCCTCCGCCCATGTGGGAACCACCGCCGAAGGGCTGGGAGAAGGTGGGCAAGACCTTTCTCCGCTTCCGCTGCACCTCCTCCTTGTCTGGGTGAAGAGGGAATTAAACCCATCACCCACGGATCATGCCTGAATTCCTTTTCCCTCCAAATCCTCAAATCAGCTCCCAGGAAGCACCTCCTGGGCGCCTCCAGTCCCTCCTTGCCCCCTCCAACCCATCGGCGGTCCTCAAGTCCCTTCCAGCTCCACCTTCCACCAGAGGGTAATAGGTGAATTGCTTGGAGTCTGAGACATCTCCCCCACGCTTGCGTTTCAGTTGCAGGAACACGGTTACAGGCCGATCAATCTTCATCTTGTGGTAGGGAGGTGTGCGGAACACAATGGCATACTGGGGGGTGGAGAGAGACACAGTGTCAGTAAGGCCTTTGCCTTACTGTCTCACCTCAGTTCCACCCCTGGTCCCCAAATACCTGTTTATGAACATCTGTGGGAGAGAAGTCCCCAAAGGCCTGCCATCCATTCTCATCATCCTCATAGAACCGAACTTCTATGTCATCTGCAGGGAAAAGTGAAGCGTAGCCACTGGCTCCTGGTAGGATCTCCAGGTCCACTGGCCCCGGAGCTTACCTTGACCCTCAATCTTACACGTCTCTGTCCGTACTGCCCAGTCTGGGCTCTAGCCTCACCTTTCTGCACCTTGTCACAAAGCAGGTAAACTTCATCTCCACCCCGTACAGAGCCTGCTGTCTTGTCCATTCGGGAAATCTTCAAGTTTGAAGCCCCTGGAGATTCTGGGGGGAGTGGTGGGGTGAGAAATGAGTTAGCTGACATGATACAGTGCCAGGGATATACTGATGGAGCCGGGACTTTGGGGCCATTCATTCTTTTAGTAACCTCAGGAATTACTTATATTGTTTACCAAAGGCAGAAGCCACACTCAGATCTGTTCAAGACCACTCAGCTCACACATGGAAAGGTCAGATTCAAACCCAGATCGATGTGACTATATAGCTTGAAGGTGCCCCACATTCTTTCCCTCCTCCTCATCCCTGGCACCCTGGCCAGTCAGGATACTCACTGCTGTCATGGATGGGCTGGGAGATAACGGGCTTCAGGGGCAGGGAGAAGGAGCCATCGCTGGCCCGAAGAAAAGCAGAGAAGCGCAGACGCACAATACTCAGATCCATGACTTTCTTTAGCTCTTTGGCCTCCTGTTCTAGTTCCCGCCTCTCAGCCTCTGGGTAGTGAACACATGTGTGACCCCCATAGGCTCCCCCTCTTCCATTGCTCTTACCATGAGCACCACTCATTTTGCCTGCCCCTATACCTGTAAGGCCCTGGGGCCTGGAGCGGAGTCGTTGCCTTTGAAGTTTTTGTATCATAATCTCCATCATGTTCTTCTTGGTCACATGCAGGACACCCAGGTTATTAAATCTGGGGAGGAGAAGGAGTCAGGGACATTGGCCCGTGATGTTTTTGTCTTCTGAGGCAGCAACCCCACTGGCAGGCTCAACCTAACCCCTGTTCTACAAGGAAGCTGTTGTAGTTTATACTTGGGCCCTTAGGTTTGGGGACAAGACTATTCTCTCCCTTTTATCAGATGCTAAGTACGCAGGTGGTCTGGGCCTAAGACTTGGCAGTTAATGCGGGCTATCAGTGGGGGCCAGGGTTAGATGATACCTACTGGGCAGTCATGTCCTTAGGCCCCACAGACACGGCGCAGACCCCTAGATCCGAGCATTGTTTGCCCACCAGGCTGTGGGCATGAGCGCGAGGTGGGTCACTGTGTGTTACCAGGTCCACTTCAATCTTGGCTAGTCCCTCGTAGTTACAGATCTGAGAGGCGCAGCGATCTATCAGGCACATCCCTGGACATACTGTCCCTTAGCCTACCCTCCAGCACTGTCCCTGCTCACCTTGACGGTGGGATAGGTCTTCCGGCCCTTTTCACTGGAGGCCCCAGGAAGGCCTCCGTGGGAGGGGCCTTCACATCCATATCGAAATCGGAAGCCTCGCTGAAGATTAGATGGCACAGTGACATTGCGATCAGGAGAGACCACCCTAAGCAGACAGTCCTGGCCAGCAGCGATGACAGTGGCCAGTACTCTTTGCCTTAGAATCCCCTCCCTGCCACACATGCACTACGATCGGCAGCATACACGCATCAGATCCACAAACACCACCTTAGACCCAGCTATAACTATCCTACACGTTCCTAAAGCCATTCCCATACCATCCTTTTGCTCACTTACCTGTTTAGGCTGTTCCACAATCACTAGGTAGGGGACATCAGCTGGGGACAAAAAGGGTCTTCCTGAGTCAGGCTCCGAGCTCACTTCCCAGAGAAGGAAGGCGGGTGCAAGCTTACTTCCCTCTTCCAAGGGGAGGTCAGTGGACTTACCTGCCTCTGGGGCTGGATCCTTGGCCTCCACAATGGAAGGACTGAATTTGAAATCATATTCGGGGATGCCACCCAGAGCCTGGTTTGGAGACAGGGAGGAGGTGGCAGCTGATTCTGAGCACTCCGGAGCCCTTCACCTCCCAGTGCCAAGTCCTCAGTAGTCACTCCTCCTCAGGCCCACTGGAAAGCTCCCTTCAGAATCAGTTTGCAGACAGACAGACCCACAGGCAGGCTGATAAACATACAGGAACAAGTAAGCAGAGGAGGCTCCAGTAGACAAGCAGACAGACACAGGGGGCACGGGCCACCTTCAGGGCTAGTGCAAGTGACTCACTGGGTTGTAGCAACTGTCCATGACTCTGGGCTAGACCCGGTTCTCTGCTGTCCTCTGCCCCTAGTTCGCCTTCCCAGAGTTACATGCGCCAGCCTAAAGTGAAGGGGAGTGGTGAGAGGAGCGAGAACAGGTCAGGATAGGGGTGTGAAGGAGGGGGGGGTCCCGGATTTTGGGGAGGGTCCGATCTCTTCCCGCTGCCCGTCTGGGTGTGGCGAGTAAGATCCGGTGGAGGCCGAGATCCGGAGCTGGGCTGGGCCGGGGAAGGGGCAGAAAGTTAGAGCAGCTTAGGAAAGTCCCGAAAATACCAGGGGGAGGCGGGGCCAGGGGGGCGGGCCTGGAAATGACGCCTTGGCCCCGCCCCGGAGCAGGAGGGGCGGGAGACGCCCGCCGGCTTGTGGCCTCTGGCTGAGGCTCTGCGGGCCGAGAAGCTTTGAGAATGTGGGAAGCCCCGGGGAGGGAGGGGGAAGGGGTTGAGCCCCCTCCTCCCCCCAGGCAGGTGCTGCGGACACGAGGGTCTTTTACTGTAAGCCAGGTCCCCACTCGTCCCCCTCTCTCCCAACCCACCTAGGAGCAACCTTGGGATTTTCTGCCAGGAGGGAGGCCCCGGCTGATTCACCCGGGGGCTTTTAGGGGGGCATTCCTGCCGCCGGGCAGCCTCCTTTTCGAATGGTCTGTAGGCGGGGGGCCCTTCCCAGCGGGCCCCTGGGGTTCTGGGCCGCGGGAAGGGGGTCGGAATCTCCGTGGGGATAGATAGGCTCTTCTTTCCCTCCCGGAACATCTTAGCTGCCCACCTTCGCACGCTGCACCTGCCCGGTCTGCCTCGGCGCCGCGCTGACCTCTGCGCGCCCCAGTCCCACAGCCGGGTGTAACTCGTGTGTCTGTGTGCGTCCATCACCAGTGTGTTTCGGCTCTGGTGCCCGCATGGTATGTGTGCATGGTGTCCACCTGCGTGTGTGCAATGTCCCTGAGCTGCTCGGTGCGGGCACCTGCCAGAGCACACCGGCTGGGTGAGGACAGGTAAGCATTTCTTGGAGTTCGTGCGTGGAAGGTGTGTGTGTCCAGGCACTGGTGTGCAGATGCGCACGCCCGTCTGCCCATGTGTGGTGCGCGTCCGGCCGCGGGCCCGCGGCGCCCTCGCCAGCGCCAGAGCGGGTGTATGTCTGAACGACGTGTACTAACATGTCTGCTTCGTGTGCGCTTTCTGTGCGTCAGCGGCTCTCCGGCCCCAGGGGTCAGTCACCTCAAGCCCCTTCCTTCTCCCTGCTCCGTCTCTTGGCCACCCGGCGGTCTGGACCCGGCCACTCACCGTGGCGGCGGCTCTGGTTCCGGCTCCTCTCCCGACCCGACCCTCGAATGTCTTGCCACTCTCGCCAACCGGGAAAGCCCCTTGTTGGCCCCCAGGAGGGGGGAATTCCCGTGACGTTTCTGTCCGTCACGCCCCGTGTTCCTCTTCATTGGCTGAAAGTTTAACTCCAGGACGCCAATAGCCAATCAGAAGAGACGCAGGCACGCCCCCTCAGAGGAGAAAGGTTCACGGAGGGCGGAAGCTGGTAGGAAGTTCTACCCAGTGCGGGCCCAGGGCGGCTGGGCCCGGGCGGCCGGACCGGTGGGAGGTGGGCCGCAGACCCAGTGCCTCTCCCAGCGGAGAATCCGGACTCCGGTCTCTTCATCCCATCCTGGCTTGCCCTAGACGGCTGGGAGCGCCCGCTGCCATTCGGCTTTCGCATGGTCTACCACTTGGCTGCCTCTGAAGCCGGGGAACCCCAAGGGGAAGACAGCGGGCCCCAAAAGGGCCCCCTGCTGGGAAGAGTTAAGGGAAGAGGAAGGAAGTTGATCTTGCGGTCAGTCCCAGGTCGCCACCTGGCGGCCTCTCTGGAGCCACAAAGAAACGCTGTACAGACCCCTAGGATTTCCCTTCTTGCTTTGGCACTGGGTCTGTTAGTCTCAAAGCTTCAGGAAAAGACGGCTGGTTCTAAAACTTAACTGTAAGCGGAAGGTTCAGAGTGCACCAAGTTTTCAGACTGACCTGGGTTCAGGAGCTCTGGGTTGAGAAAGAGTAGGAAAGTGTTTACCTGGGAGACTTACTCATCCATCCGAGACAGCTGGAGTATTAGAATATTAGAATTTTGGGGCTGGGATGCTGGCTCAGTGGTAGAGTGCTTGCCTTACATGGGTTCGATTCCTCAGCACCACATAAGCAAAAAGCAAAAAAGCCGGAAGTGGCGCTGTGGCTCAAGTGGTAGAGTGCTAGCCTTGAGCTGAAGAGCTGAGGGACAGCGCCCGGGCCCAGATTTCAGGCTCCATGACCGGACCCAAAAAAAGAAAAAAAAATAGAATATTAGAATTTTAAAGGTATCTGGCTGGGGGCGTGGTTCAAGTGGTGGAGTGCCTGACTAGCAAACAGGAGTCTGAGTTCTCTTTCTCTTTGTGTTTTTTTTTTTTTCTCTTTGTCGGTTGTGGAGTCTGAACTCTGGGCCTGGGCACTGTCCCTCAGCTCTTCAGCTCAAGGCTTGAGCCACAGCACCACTTCCAGGAGTCTGAATTCAAACATCAGTACCTGGGGGAAGTGGGGCAATGTCCAAAGTCTAAATAGCTCAAACTTCTACCACTCAAACAGTGTAGAAATAGAAATTTGCCTTTTGGCTGGGGACGTAGCTCAGTGGAGAGTGTGTGCTTTGCATGTTTGAGGCCATTCGTTTCTTCCAGAGAACCCAAAATCCGAAAATGAAAATAGCACCTGAATTGCCTCATATTTCCACCTTCCTCTTGAGCATGCTTTTTAGTGGCAACAAGGTCAGGAGAGAAACTCACCAGCCTTTGATAGGTGTCTGGACCTCTCTGGCTGTTAGTTTTCCTTCTTTTTTCTCAGTCATGGGGCTTGAACTCTGGGGCCTGGGTGCTGTCCCTGAGCCTCCTTGTGCTCAAGGTTAGTGCTCTACCACTTGAGCCACAGTGCCACTTCTGGCTTTTTCTTTTTCTTTTTTTTGGGTCCGGTCATGGGGCCTGAACTCTGGGCCTGAACGCTGTCCCTCAGCTCTTCAGCTCAAGGCTAGCACTCTACCACTTGAGCCACAGCGCCACTTCTGGCTTTTTTCTTTTTTCTTATGTGGTGCTGAGGAATCGAACCCAGGGCCTCGAGCATGCAAGGGAAGTGCTCTACCACTGAGTCACCTTCCCAGCCCACTTCTGGCTTTTTCTAAGTAGTTTATTGGAGATGAGTCTCACGGACTTTTCTGCCTGGCTGACTTCGAACCCAGATCCTCAGATCTCAGACTCCTAAGTAGCTAGGATTACAGGCATGTACCACTAGTGTCTAGCTTAAGAAATCTTTTTATTAGGGGCTGGGAAGGTGGCTCAGTGATAGAGTGCTTACCTTGAATGCACGAGGCCCTGGGTTTGATTCCTCAGCACCACATAAGCAGAAAAAGCAGGAAGTAGGGGCTGGGAAGGTGGCTCAGTGGTAGAGCGCTTGCCTTGCATGCCTGAGGCCCTGGGTTCCATTCCTCAGCACCACATAAGCAAAAAGAAAAAAGCCAGAAGTGGCGCTATGGCTCAAGTGGTAGAGAAATAGCCTTGAGCTGAAGAGCTGAGGGACAGCGCCCAGGCCCAGAGTTCAGGCCCCATGACCGGACCCCCCCAAAAAAAAATCAGGAAGTGGCGCTGTGGCTCAAGTGGTAGAGCGCTAGCCTTGAGCTGATGAGCTGAGGGACAGCACCCAGGCCCAGAGTTCAGGACTCACGACCCAGAAAAAAAAAATCTCTTAGGAGGTGGGAAGGTGATTCAGTGGTAGATTGCTTGCCTCGCATGCATGAGGCCCTGGGTTTGGTTCCTTAGTACCACAGAAAAGTCCAGAAGTGGCACTGTGGTTCAAGTGGTAGAATGCTAGCCTTGTGCAAAAGCAGCAGGGACAGCTCCTAGGCCCTGAGTTCAAGCCACAGGACTGGCAAAAGAAAAAAAAAAAACTGCCTCTTTAGAGACATCTTCCCTGACTACTATCCCTGAAAGTCTTTGCTACTCTATCCTCTTACCTATTTTTTCCAGTAGTACTTATTACCAACGTACATACAACTACTTGGTTTTTGTCAACAAGCCATTTGTTTTCCCAAAGTAGGCCCTTCCTATTTATTGGTGCATGTGAATAGAGTGAATTTCTGGTCCATCTACTGTGGGCCGATACCATTACAGGGCCAGTTATACAAACAGAGATGGTCCTTAGATTGAAAATCAGCGAAGAACGATATAGAACTTTCTTAAATCCAGTTAGATAAGGCTATAGCAACTGTCAGCCAACAATTTAGAGTAGCTCAAAGCTCCAGGCTAACATGCATCATCAGAAGCCATGCAGGCGCTTCTTGTACTTTTCTCTCCACTTTATATATTTGAAATTTTCTTTAATAAAAAACTTTCTGGGGCTGGGAAGGTGGCTCAGTGGTAGAGCACTTGCCTTGCATGCATGAGGCCCTGGGTTCGATTCCTCAGCACCACATAAGCAAAAAGAAAAGTCGGGAGTGGCGCTGTGGCTCAAGTGGTAGAGCGCTAGCCTTGAGCTGAAGAGCTGAGGGACAGCGCCCAGGCCCAGAGTTCAAGCCCCATGACCAGACCACCCCCCAAAAAAAGGCAATTTAGCTGGGTGCCAGTGGCTCATACCTATAATCCTAGTTATTAAGGAGGCTGAGATCTGAGGATCATGGTTCAAAGCCAGCGTGGGCAAGAAAGTCTGTGAGACTCATCTTCAATTAACTACCAGAAAACCGGAAGTGGCACTGTGGCTCAAAGTGGTAGAGCGCTAGACTTGAGCTGAAGAGCTCAGGGACAGCACCCAGAACCAGAGTACAAGCCCCATGACTGTTAAACAAATAAACAAATAGGCAATTTGACTTGAAAGAAGTGAGGGAGTGAATCATGAGTCACATTTGGAGGAAGAGCATTCCCGGTGGAAGGATGAGCAGCGCGGAGGTCACAGGTGAGTGTGCTTAGCATATCTGGGGAACAGCACAAAGGTTAAGTAGGTGGAATAAAGAAAGAACTTGTGGCTGGGGGATATAGCTCAAAATAAGAGCATTTGCTTAGCATGAGCAAGGCACTGGGTTTGATTCCTAGCACTGAAAAACAAAACCCAAAAGCAAGAGCTCTGGACTTTACACTGAAGAACATAGTGACTGGAGAGCTTTGGGCAGGGGAGTAAAAATGGCATGATGGCTTTAAAAGGCTGGAGGAGGAGGCCAGTAGTCCCATCCATCATGCCTTTCACTTGAGTGATAGTGTGGAAAGATGTTGAGGCAGTCACACTCTAGGTAGATGTATAGATAGAAGCACCAGGACTTTGAGGATTGGGTGGAGGATGTGAGAGAAGAGTAGTTTTGGGCTTAAGACCTTGCAAAAATGGAATTGTCCTTCAGTGAAATGGAAGAGATTTGTAGAGGGTAATCAAGAAATTTCACTTTAAATTGGTAATATGTGACATGTCTATAAGTTATGTTGGTGGAAATGAGGGGAAAGTGAGCGAGGAAAGGTCGGAGGGCCATGGAAAGCTGGAGTTGGGAATGAAGTCAGTGTAATGGGTAGTATTTGAAGCTCTGCCAGTGGATGACATCACCCTTTGGGTGAGTACAGAGAAATCATTTGAGACTGGGAGGCTGTGATGAAGAGTCCACAGAGGGGACAGAAAGGGCATATGCTAGTGAGGTGGAGAACCAAGGAGAAGCAGTGGCACAGAAGCAGAGAGAATACAAGGTGGGGGTGATTGACTTACCTCAAGCTCCTCCAAAGACCTAGACCAGCAGCAAGTCTAAATAGTGATGCTCTAATAACCACAGTTGTTCTTAGATGGGGGAGTTGGAGGGGCCCCATGTGGTTGTGTGTGACCTTATCTTGGGTGCAGAAAATTCATGGGTTCTCTTGGAGTGCACATTTTCAGTTGTTCATGGCTCCTACTAAATGCAGTTCACAAGGTAATAGTCTACTTCTTTGTATGCTCAACTTTCTGTTTCTCATGGGAAGCTTCAGAAAATCCGCTTGGCTCTAGGTTTCTGCATCATCACTTTTTTTTTTTTTCCGCTTCAATCCTGGGCCTTGAACTTGGGGGCCTGGGCACTGTCCCTGAGCTGCTTTTTGCTCAAGGCTAGCACTCTACCACTTGAGCCCCAGCTCTACTTCTGGCTTTGTTTATGTGGTACTGAGGAATCAAACTCAGGGCTTCATGTATGCTAGGCAAGCACTCTACCACTAAGCCACATGCCCAGCCCATGCATCACCACTTTTGATTGAAAGGTCATGGGAAAACATAAAGCTTAAGAGCCAGATGCGGGTTCGATTCCCATCTCTTTCACTTCGGTGCCTTGCCTTTGCTGACCAACAGGTGTCTTCATCCCTAAGAGGAACAAACATCCCTACAGGGTCCAATAGTGACAATACAGAACTCGATTCCCATCTCTTTCACTTCGGTGCCTTGCCTTTGCTGACCAACAGGTGTCTTCATCCCTAAGAGGAACAAACATCCCTACAGGGTCCAATAGTGACAATACAGAACTATAGCTACGTCAGTCCTCTGTGTGAATGTCTTCGGTCATGGAGGCATATCCTGCTTTTCTCTCTGCTGTCACTTCTACATCACCTAGCTGTTCTTCCTTGATCAGAACTGAGGTCCAATTAGTAGCCTTCTAAACAAAGGCATTCCCAACACTAAGAACCCTATTTCAACACTAGTCATACATAGTTAAGCTTCTTTTAAAAATTGTTTTAAATATGGGGCTGGGAAGGTGGCTCAGTGGTAGAGCGCTTGCCTTGCATGCCTCAGGCCCTGGGTTCCATTCCTCAGCACCACATAAGCAAAAAAAGAAAAAAAGCCGGAAGTGGCGCTGTGGCTCAAGTGGTAGAGCGCTAGCCTTGAGCTGAAGAGCTGAGGGACAGCGCCCAGGCCCAGAGTTCAGGCCCCATGACCTGACCCCCCAAAAAAAATTTGTTTTAAATAATAGAATGTTTAGTGAATTTTTGTTTCCCAGCAGGAAGTCAGTTTGCAATTGCTTCGGCTTCTTTCCTAACTGGTAAGACTAATCGAGGGACACAGCTGTTCTATTCCTTCGTTCATATGACAGCATTCAGATTTTTTTGATATAGCCAATCATCTTTCCCTCACAGGGAAACTTAAGGAAGCATTAAAGGCAGAGCTTGCGAGGCTCTGATGTGAGAACAGACACCAGAGTGGAGACAGAGGCTCTGAGTTCAGCTGCTGTAGATTCAGGCTTTTTTGCTTTTACCCACGGAGTCTTCTGCCCTACTAATTTGCCCAGGGCAAGGATTCTGACTAGTGTGAAACCAGGCATGGCCTGGACCTGGACGAGAGGGATGAGAAACTAGTCTCATCAGTTGGTATTTTCCCAAATTGGCACCTGAATGGGGTACTTACAGAGGTCTATGCTTCTGGCAGTGTGGAAATGCTAAGCAAAGGGAAGCTGAGGACTTAAGTGCTATACTTAAGAGTCAGCTAGGCCTCAAAGCCAAAGGGAGTGCTCCCAGCTCTCTGAGGGAGACTAGCTGGCTGTACCACAGGTCCTACTCTCCTCTGTTACAAAGATGCAGGAAGCCTGCATTGGGGATGGAACCCATATAGTTATGAATGTTAGACAAGTGCTCTTCCACTGAACTACATCCCCAGCTCCTTAAAGCATTCTGAATTCCACCCCAGTGCTTCAACTCTGCCTGCTGATCCACACTGGGTGCTATATGTATACTCATGTGCAGGGCATGGAGAAGGTTAGTCATGCATGGGGAAGAATTGTCCCACTGAAGCAGGTGTTGGTATATACCTAACTTTAGCTATTCAGGAGGCCATTTAAAGCCAGCCAGAGCAGAAAAATTTGTGAGTCCATCTCCAAAATAACCATCAAAAAGCTGTGCTGGGGGGCATGCTCAAGTGGCAGAACACCAGTCCAGCAAGCGAGCTCAGCAAGCACAAGGCCATATGACTTCAGCTGTAAGGCAAGATCGTTCTCTACTTCTTTGGCTGTTGTGCTTTTGGCTCTGAGGCCTGTGTTACAGAAAGTTTCTGAATTAACTGTACCTGAGCTCTGACTCACTTGCTCTGAGTCAGGGTATAGCTCAGGTGTCTCTTGTGAAACAATTATGGACGTGTCCATGCCCTTCTGATGAGGGTGTACTGCTGTGACAATGGTGGATCAGAAACAGTGGAGAAGGAGTCCTGACTCCAGTTTTGTCATCTGAATGGTGGCTGGGCTCCAGACCTTACTTTACTGCTGTTCACCCAACACATCCTGGACATCCCAGTAACAGGAGACATTGACCCACAAACTCAAGAAGGAAAGCAGTGAGACAGGCAATGGTATTGGTACTAAGACATTTATTACATCATAAAAAGTCTATTATTGTTTTCCATATATACATGCTCCTGTGGGCAGTCCCCCTATTCAGCCCCACCCGTCCACCCTCTGTGGTGCCAAGCATTTCTCCAAACTTACCAACTATTTAGTAAAAGAGGAAGAATTGGAGGTGGCAGCCCAGGACAGATGGGAACGAGATGGGAAGAGGGAAACAAAGTGCAGAGTGGTTGGGCTTGGCTCTCAATGCCCGACCTGGCAGGAGGGGCACGTGGCAGGCACTACAGGGTTGATACAGCAGTGCCTCCCTGAGCTGCCAGGCTGCAGGCAGAGGCTACAGATGATACCCGAGTGAGTGCTCAGGTTGGACCCTCAGATACGGAGAGCAGAGGAGAAAGAGGGCCCAGTAGGGGATAGAAGCGTTCTTTTTATCCCCCATCCAAATGGCAGCAACAGCAGCTCGGATTGGGCCAGAAGAGTTGGTGACCTCTGGGACAGCTGGAATGGGGCCTGGAATAGCCTGATGGGAAGTACTGGTCCTGATCTCTAAGGGCCCCACTTTAGTTGACTTCAGAGGTGGGTATGGGCTCTGTGGGGCGGGGCGTGGCTAGGAGGGGTACTGGAGACGTTGCTTCAATGAGTGCAGGGTTGAGGATGATGGGCAGAGACATGGGTGGCACACCCACCTGTAGTGGGGAGGCCAAGGGCTGTAGAATTAGTGGGGGCTGGGTCAGAGCGGGAGGCCCTTCTGGGGTAGGACTCGGCCTGCTGGGGCTACAGGCCATTGGTGATCCAGGGGAGCTGCTGTTGGGGGCTCGGGGACCCTCAGGTTTCTCCAAGTCTGTAAAGAAAGTTGCAATTAGACTCTTGTCAGCATACCAAGTCTGTTTCTCCCAATTTCCCTTCCCGGCTAAAATACTGAGTCTCAAAACTCATCTCATGTTCAGCTACCTTAGGTAATAGATCCACCCTTTATCTCCTTCACTCAAACTTTGGTCTGGATTTAGCTAGAATCCATGAATCCTAGCTTACCTTGCTCTGCTATTTCCCATAGAAAGGGTGGGCAAATAGCCAGCCTGGGCTGCTTCCTTCCCAACTCCCTGCTACCACCACCAGCAAACCCAAGTTCCCTAGTCTTCCTCTTAGACATTCTTCTTCCTGCCCAACCACAGACAGACCATCAAGGAGAGACTCACTGCAGGGCCCCAGCTCCGAGGGTGTTTCTGGGGGAGGCTGATGGCCATGTGTCCAGGGGTCACCAGCAGCAGGAGTTAGGTGAGCTGGGGCCAGGGGTTTGGGGCTGTGGTGCTCCATGGGCACAGGGTCTGGTTAGACAGAGGGTATAGGTGGCCACTCTTAGTGCTTAGTCCTGGATATGTACCACTTCTTCCACCCCCATAGGACTCAGGGGATTCTTTGGTGGGATGGGCTGGGTACCCTACCTTGAATGACAGTCTGCTTGAAGAGCTCATCACGTAAGTGTGGAAGAAAGCAGTCAATGCGCTCCCATGTGATCTCCCAGAGGGCAGAGGGACCACCTCCTCGTGAGTCTGCACTGTGGAAAATCTCTGCCGTGTCCATCACAAGGAGCATGTTCTTCAGAGACTCAGGGATGGCCTCTGACTGCAGGGGGCAGTGGGATAGTGGGAACAGAGCAGAAGCATGAGGGAGACAGCAGCAAAGGGAGAGACAGCAAGTCTCCTGGCAGGCAGGAAAGGAAATGGGCAGGGGGAATCCAGCTAAGGTTAAACATACCAGTAAATCACTGGAACCTGCGTGCATGTACTTGTCCATGAAGTCTAGGATGGTGAGCCAGAGCGCAGCGAAGGTGGAGAGTGACAGCAGTGGAGACAGGTGCTGCAGGAACACCTGGAGCCCACGACAGCCTGTTAGCCACAGGCAGTGTATGAACCGCTACGTCCCTCTCCAGAGTTATGAAGTAAGCCTGCTTCATCTTGCATGGAAATTGCTCTGATCAGAAATTGCTCTGAAATCCAGAGTCCTTCTGAGTCCCTGGGTCCTTTACAGTTTCCTGAGCCAGGGGTCCTGAGTACCTACATTGTGTTTCTGGGTCTCACCCAACCTGGAGGTGTCCTTTTCCCTCTTTGGAAAAGGGCAGGGCTTGGGAGAGTAGGTGTGAGTACAGTGGTCAGCAGTACCTTTGAGAGCAGCGTGGAAGCCCTCATCCGGGTCTCCTCCATCCCACCCACGTCAGCTGGGCTGATGTTCTCTAAGAGCTTGGTCAATAGAGGAAACAGCACCTGGGAGGTAAATAGCCATGTTATTCTAGTTAAGCAGCCTTGCCCCAAGGATAGGCAAGATGGGTAGATGGGGCATGATGCTGGAGATGGGTAGATGGGGCAGAGAGCACCAGGGAAGGTCTCATATAAGCTGAGGAGACATTAGGGGTTCTTGGGAGGCTGCCTGGCTCTCCCTGCCTTAGGTTTCAAACTTTATCTACCTTGTTAAAACAGGACTCCCATTCTAGGGCATCCAGCTTTTGCAGGTCATGTACCAGCAGTGCTCGCTGCAGATAGGTCAGGGCCTGCATCCGCACCTGGCGCCGGGCATCACAGCACAGGCAAGCAATGCCTGAGAACGAGAACGGGATGGGGATCATCCAGTCATCTGGTCCTGGTGCTCTGACCTTACCTCTGCCATACCCTGCCTCCACCTGCAAGTTTACCCTGTAGTAAAGGGCACCAGCAATGGGCCCAGAGGGTGCGCGAATCGGCTTCGATCTTCTGGCCACCTGTCTCCAAGTGACGCTGCTCTTCTGCCCATGAGCTATAGATAGAGGCGGCCCGCGTGTGCAGGGTGTGCATCAGGTCTAGCAACTGGCATCACAGAAGAGAGCAGGAATGAGTGGGGTTAGGCCTGGTGGGTCCCTTGACCTCCCCCTGTAACTGTCCCTAAGTCATCAAAGGACACCCTCCCCCTTAGTAACAGCACAGTCCACTCCTTTCTCTATTTCCTTTGTTGTGGTGTTTTTTGTTTATTTTGCCAGTCCCGGGGCTTGAACTCAGGGCCTGGGCTCTGTCCCTGAGCTTCTCTGTGCTCAAGGCTCTACCACCTGAGCCACGGCACCACTTCTGGCCTTTTCTGCTTATGTGGTTTTGCAGGATCAAACCCAGGGCTTCATGCATGCTAGACAAGCACTCTACCACTAAGCCACATTTCCAGACTCTTCCCTTTGTCTTAACTTGATAAGCTAGTAGCTCTAGTTCTGGCTATGTTTCTCATAGTCACAAGTTATTCACGGCAGAGGAGATTTTAGGACCAAAATTCAACACAGAATTACACAAAAAAGAACTAAAATAAATCCTTGTTAAAGAAAAAAAAAGTAATTAAATTGGAAAAATTTAGTTAATCTCATCTTAAAAACAAATCAAATTGCCAGGTTATCAGTGACTCACGCCTGTAATCCTATCTACTTAGAAGGCTGAGATCTGAGGATGGTGATTTGCAGCCGGTCTGGACAAAAATGTCCATGAGACTCTTATCTCCAATTAGCCAGCAAAAACTTGACGTAAAGGTGTGGCTCAAGTGGTTGAGCACTAGCCTTGAGCAAATGAGCCAAGGACATCTGAGTTCAAGCCCCAGCGCTAGCACTCGCATGCATACACGCACACACAGACCCAAGCAAATCAAATCTCAAGCTCAGAGGTTTTCCTGGGCAATTGTCTGGCCAGAATTAATACTTTTGTTGTTTTCTGAGACAAGGTCTTAACTAGCTTGCCTCAAGCTCACTTATGCAATGCAGGCTGGCCCTGTCATGATCCTCCCGCTTGAGCCTCCTGAGTTTCAGCATTACAGGTGCCACCACTCCTGGCTAATACTTTATTTTCATAATGTTTAGAAAGTTCTTACTGAAAGCAAGCAACTGTTTTTCCATTTATTTAGTGATATAAAGTCAACTTATAAGATCAATTTTATATGCCTTGAATAGACACACAAATAACTTTGGAAGGAGACACAAAAATGGGGACAAAACTGCCTTTAGTGACAGGAATCCTGTGGTTGGGGGCAGGAATAAAATGGAAACTTATTTTTATCAGTTTACCCTTTTTACCTTTTGAATTTTGTACCATGTGCATATATTACCTATTCAAAAATAAACTTTAATTTTAAAATAAACTTAGGCAAGCAAGGATTCATAGGTGATCCTGGATAATGGGGATACTGTGGAGGTAGTCATGGGCCTGGGCAGAACACAGGGGCCCTTCCTCTTGGCCCCCCCCAGGCTCCCAGGTGCAGGGGAGGAGAGGAAGTAAAGGGTGCCATACTTACGTCCTGACTGACCTGTAAAGACACCGTATGGTAGCTGGCAGGCACGCCTTCATCTTCATCATCGTCACTGTGCCCACCCCGTGTGGGATGTTGGTTGGAGGTTCGAGGACGACGAAGCATCGAGCCTTCCTTGGACTTTTTCTTGAAGCGGTTCCCTTTGCTGTCATATTTATGACTCTTGCTGCGTTTCTCCTGAGATTTGCACCCTGGACAGAGATGGACCCAGGTCACACTTCCACAGCTAGAAGCAAAGATGTCCAGCCCTTTCTTCCATCCCCACTGTAATTACATGGTTCTTCCCCAACTAACCCTTCATCATGTAACCTACCGCCATTCAGACTGGCCTCCACAAAGACACGCAGAGTCTTGACGCAGAGCTCGAAGTTGTCAGGAGTGATGTGAGCAGCATCACGAACAATGAAGGACAATGATTCCACACACTTAAGTAGGGACTTAGTGTCATGTGGCCCCAGGTCCAGCCCCACTGTTAGGCTATACTGATTCACCAGGGGTGAAGGGCCTGGCCGACTGGACCCTGGTCCTGGCTTGGAGTTATCAATGTCATCCTTTCCCACCTGTGAAGTACATAGGGTAGAAGCTGGGGAACTAGTCTTGACCCTTATTTGTCCTCTCAGAGAACCAGGAATCTCTCTTACAAGCCCAGGAGGGAAGATTCATCAGCTGCCCATACCCTCACTCACCACAAGCCAACCACTGTTGACCACATCAGCATCTGTGGCTGATCGATGCATCTTGCCAGGCCTGCCATGATCAGTGTAGACCTCTGAGTCGGAAGTGTAGCCTCGGTCTAGGCTCACATCATTCTGATGATAAGATGGTAGCTCACTATCTGACTGGGCTCCTAAGCCAGGCAGGGAGAAGAACAGAGGCAGGTTAGGGATGGGACACTGGGGCAAAGAAAATTTAGACTCTCAGAAGAAAAGTGCTAAGGCCTGGCCTCTTCTCTCTCTGGCCTGGATTATTTCTGCCCTGTCACCAGAGGACTTCAGCCTAGACAGCTTCTCTTATGACCAAATAGGGCAATAGGCTAATTTGGGCTTCTGATAGCATCTAGTAGCAGCTGTTAGGAAAATCGAGTGGCAGCAAGGGCATAATTTCTGGGAAAATAGTCCACAGGATGGTAGGAAGCCTGGCTTCGCGGCCTTCTACATTGCCTACTTGCCTTCATGCTATTTAACCTGTGGATACCAGCCAGCAGGCACTGAAAGATCTGGAAGCAGATGGCAGAAGCCAGGCATATTTAATCTGCTGAATGCAATAACCTGTGTTTTGTTTTCCTGTCCCAGCGCCTGGGCCACAGCTATTTATCTGCCAGTGAGAGTCTCCCTGGGAGAAGGCTTACCAGCATCAGGTGCATCAGTCCTAGCTGTGGCCTGCAGAGCAGCTGGAGGCTTCACACCTGAGCCGATACACTCCAGTAGTGTGAAAAGGGTGGCCCAGTCATCCCCCAAGTGGATGTTAGCTGCATTTGTCTTAAGGAGTTCATGGAGCCCATATGCAACTTGGTGACTAACTCTGGACAGCACGCCAGGCTTCATCAGCAACAAGATGCGCAGGGAGAGCAGCACCTGGGGTAGGGGTGGGGAGCAGGAAAGAGGAGAGTGGGCACATAGCTTCCTATGGAAGAAGCTTCCCCATCAGTCTCTTTAGGTCAGCCAGGAGGGTTTGGTTAGAATCCAACTTGAGCTGATGTTGCTAGTCTCTCTCTCTCACACATGGTGCTGGGGCTTGAACTCAGGGTCTCAAGCTTGCTAGGTGGGCACTCTACCACTGAGCCATGCCTCCAGCCCTTGTCTCTTCTTTTTTCTTCCTAAACATATATATATATATATAATATGTATATATTTATTTTAAAAATTAATTGTTGTTATAAAGGTGATGTATACAGGGGTTACAGTTACCTAAGTCAGGTAAAGAGTTCTTTCCTTTCTGGACAATGTTATCCTTTTTTTTGGGGGGGGGGGCTCTGGTCATGGGGCCTGAACTCTGGGCCTGGGTGCTGTCCCTCAGCTCTTCAGCTCAAGGCTAGCGCTCTACCACTTGAGCCACAGCGCCACTTCCGGTTTTTTTCTTTTTGCTTATGTGGTGCTGGGGAATTGAACCCAGGGCCTCAGGCATGCAAGGCAAGCGCTCTACCACTAAGCCACCTTCCCAGCCCTCCCTCCTTTTTTATTTTTGGCCAGTCCTGGTGTTTGAGCTCAGGGTCTGGGCTCTGTCCCTGAGCTTCTTCTGCTTAAGGCTAGCACTCTACCACTTGAGCCACAGTGCTACTTCTGGCCTTTTCTGTTTATGCAGTACTGAGGAACTGAACCCAGGGCCTCATGCATGCTAGGCAAGCACTCTACAAATTAAGCCACATTCCCAGCTCCACCCCTCCTTTTTGAGAGGGACTGGTGATCCACTAAGGGCTAAGCACTCAGCCACTCATTTTATTTTATTTTTTAACATTTATTTATTTATATATTTATTGTTGGTTGTGGGGCTTGAACTCTGGGCTTGGGTGCTGTCCCTGTGCTCTTCAGCTCAAGGCAAGTGCTCTACCACTTGAGCCACAGCGCCACTTCCAGTTTTACTAGTGGTTTATTGGAGATGAGAGTCTCACAGACTTTCCTGCCCGGGCTGGCTTTGAACCACAATCCTCAGATCTCAGCCTCCTGTGTAGCTAGGATTATAGGCGTGAGCCACCGGTGCCCAGCTTCAGCACTGGACTTCATTTTATTTTATACTAAACTGTTTATTGAATTGATTAGTATCATATGCACTTGTTAGAAATAATACAAAGTACCTTATATACTTTGTCCAACTTATCCCAATAGTAACAATATGCAAAACACAATCAAAATATTGATATTGATACAACTCACAGATACTATATGGATTTCTCTATTCTCTACAATTTTTTTTTTTTTTGTCAGTCATGGGCCTGAACTCTGGGCCTGGGCGCTGTCCCACAGCTCTTCAGCTCAACCACTTGAGCTACAGCACCACTTCCGGCTTTTTCTGATTATGTGGTGCTGAGGAATTGAACCCAGGGCTTCATGCATGCAAGGCAAGCACTCTACCACTGAGCCACCTTCCCAGCCCCTCTACAATTTTTTTTAAACAACTTTTCTTTTTTTTATGTTGGTCATGGGGCTTGAACTCTGGGCCTGGGCACTGTCCCTCAGCTCTTCAGCTCAAGGCTAGCGTTCTACCACTCTACAATTTTTATCACCTGTATAGCTTTATGAATCCACAAATCAAGATGCTGAATGGTTCCTATACCACAGGCTGTTTCATGCTACCCTTTTCTAACTATAGCTTGTCCTTTTTCCTAACCCCTAGCAATCTGTCCTCAACATATAAAATTTTCTGAGTTCACAAATGTCATATGAATGGAATTATGTAGTATATAGTCTTTGAAGATTGGCTTCTCACTCAGTACCTAAGTCATTACATCTAGTCTGTTCCTTGAAGACTAATCTATAGTATAGAATATAGTATATTATATACAGCATTCCATAGAATATGTATGTGTACCATAGTTAGTTTACTTATTGCAAGTCATCTGGACTAATTCCAGTTGGGGCTACTCTGTATGTTTTGTTGTTGTTTATATTGTCATTTGTGGGACTTGAATTCTGTGCCTGGGTGCTATCCCTGAGCTCTTTAGGTCAAGGCTAAAGCTCTACCACTCTGTTTTTTTTTTTTTTTTGGGTCCGGTTGTGGGGCCTGAACTCTGGGCTTGGGCGCTGTCCCTCAGCTCTTTAGCTCAAGGCTAGCGCTCTACCACGTGAGCCACAGCACCACTTCCGGCTTTTTTCTATTTGCTTATGTGGTGCTGAGGAATCGAACCCAGGGCTTCAAGCATGCAAGGCAAGCGCTCTACCACTGAGCCACCTTCCAGCCCCTCTACCTCTAGTTTTTGAGTGGTTAATTTGATATATGAATCTCATGGAGACTTTTCTGCTCAGGCTGGGTTTGAATTGCAATCCTCAGATCTCAGCTTCCTAAGTAGCTAGGATTACAGGAGTGAGCCACTAGCGCCCAGCTGTTATTACATTCTTGTTTGTTTGTTTGTTTTGGCTGGTCATGGGGCCTGAACTCTGGGCCTGGGCACTGTCCTTCAGCTCTTCAGCTCAAGGCTAGTGTTCTATCACTCAAGCCATAGCGCCACTTCTGACTTTTTCTGCTTATGTGGTGCTGAGGAATCGAACCCAGGGCCTCATGCATGCAAGGCAAACACTCTACCACATTCTTAATTTCAGCTTTCAAAAGTTCATTGTTAGCATATAGAAACAGATCTTATATTTTGTATCCTTATTGAACTAATTTAATAGTTTTTTGAACTTTTTAAATACGTTTTTGTTTGTTTGGTTGTTTTTTGTATTATAGGCAAGAGATCTCATGCTTAGGATTCTAAGCATGAGAACCCCAAACCAGATATATGCCTGGGGCTACTAAAAGGTAGCAGCAATCCAGCCCCACAAAACAGATTGAGAGAGGTACAGGGCATTAGCTTCATGCTTAGGGTCATTCCAGGTACCTCTGTTAAAAGACTGTGCCACCCTTGTGGTTGGCCACTAGATTCATGTTATGGAGCATTATGTCTAGTGTACGTACACACACACACACACACACACACACACACACACACACACGCATACATAGATGGAGTCTGTGGAGCATTATGTCTAGTGTACGTACACACACACACACACACACACGCACACGCATACATAGATGGAGTCTGTCTTAGATCATATCCATAAGAACAGCAGCCTGCCCACCTTCCCAGATACACTCTGCTTACCTGACCACTGATCTCTTCTCTACGGAGTAGCCGGATGGCTAGGCGCAGCAGCCCTACCACTGCTCGGTCCACAAGGAAACAGAAATCTTGTGCCTGGACACAGAGGTGGTATAAATGGTCTCGAACAGTCTGCCATACACATCCCACTCGGTCCCTTAGAGAAAACAGGAATAAGGACAATCTCAGTGGAGGCCACTGGGCAATTTGTCTCCTATCCTTTTCCTGGTTTAGTGGAATCATACCCTAAGCAGACAGGAGTAGAGATCAAACTTTTCCCTTATTGCCTATGGTTTTGTATATTTCAGGCCCCAAAGCCTGGTATAGAGTCTGCCTAAAGACTTTTTTTTTTGTCAGTTGTGGGGCTTGAACTGGCCCTGGGCACTGTCCCTGAGCTCTTCAGCTCAAGGCTAGTGCTCTATCACTTGAGTCACAGCGCCACTTTTGTTTTTTTGTGGTTAATTGGAGATAAGAGTCTCAGACTTTCCTGAGCAGGCTGGCTTTGAACTGTGATCCTCAGATCTCAGCTTCCTGAGCAGCTAGGATTACAGGCGTGAGCCACTAGCACCCCGCTTGCCTAAAGATCTTCACCTGCCTTATCCTACCTGTTCTCCAATACAATCCGTAGCAGCATCTCAAGACAAAAAGCGGCGTCTTCCTCATCATATGTTTCTTCATCTGGTGTCACTGAGACTAGAGCCTGGAGGGGAACAGCAGTAGGAAAGAAGTCATGGAGGAGAGGCCAGCCACTGGCTCTACCTCAAAAGAAATAGAGATACTACTACCCCTCCCAGACACAGGCAGCTCTCCATCTCTTCCCTTCCTCGGTACCTTCATGAGCTCCTGCAGGGACTCCAGCTGGAGGAACTTGCTCTCTGTGATCATCTTTTCTGGGTCACATTGCTAGAGAGGGCATAAGAAAAAGAGGGTCTGTGACAAAGACTGAAGGGAGAGAGCCAGGGAGACAGGGCAGAATCCTCCGGGTTAGAAGTCCTACATGATTCTATTCTTTACCTACAAGCTACATCTTTCTAATAGGTAGGGGTTTAGGTTCTTGCCAGGGGTGGGTAGTTACCTTGATACAGTCCAAGGCCATTTTCTTAGCCTCTTGGTTCTCAGTGGATGGGCCCCGTACACTAGACTGCTCGGGGCCACTCAACGTTAGCCAGCTCACAAAGCTCAGTACTGTTGACTCTCCTCTGTAGGAAGAGGGTACATGGTGATCCCCAAAGTTCTGACCCTCCCTATATAAGATCGTTAGCTTCTGCTTTTGGTCTTTACGTACCGGTTTGATGGTGTTTCTTCTCGCTGTAGAGAGATCTTGCCATTGGGATCCACAAAATCTTCTACCTGGCATAATAGGACAAAAAATGATTTCTTTCCCCAAATCCTTTGCATTTCTGTTCCCTCAAGCAAATTTTTCTAGATTTCTTCCTGTAGCCCTCTGTCCTTGAACTATTTTTCAGGGTAATATAAATAGTAATGACTCCTACCAGCCTTTCTTTATAACTATCTTCAAGATCTGTGGCATTTGGGCTGGGAAGGTGGCTCAGTGGTAGAGTGCTTGCCTTGCATGCATGAGGCCCTGGGTTCAGTTCCTTAAGTACCACATAAGCAGGAAAAGCTGGAAGTGGTGCTGTGGCTCAAGAGGCGCTAGCCTTGAGCTGAAGAACTGAGGGACAGCGCCCAGGCCCAGAGTTCAGGCCCCATGAATGGCAAAAAAAAAAAAAGATCTGTGGCATTAATTTGAGCTATTCCTAGTGATCTTTGGCAGGCATCAGGCTCAGTGCTCCTCTCGGCCAATTCTATGTCTAGATGCACAAAATGCTAGGACTCTTGCTTTGTTATTGTTGATTAATCTACCAAAAATTACCTCCACCATTGCCTTGGGCAGCAGCTGGGCTCGGAAGAGCTGCAGCATGGCTTCCATGATATTCTTCCAGCCCTCCCGTAGGATGTCACCATGACGATGGGCCAAATGGAATACTGTCTTGGCTGCAATGTGGGCTTTAGGGTTGCTTCCAAATACACTGGGTAAGTTCTCAATAGACTGGAAAAGAGAATGAGAAGAGGCTTCAGGTAGTATCTGGAAGAAAACTCTCAGGTTTCTTTCTGCCTGTGGTTCCCTGAGAATCCTTCTGCTGGCTTTGCTTTTTTTTTTTTTTTCTTTTGGTCGGTCATGGGTCTTGAATTCTGGGCCTGGGCTCTGTCCCTGAGCTCTTCAGCTCAAGGCAAGTGCTCTATCACTTGAGCCACAGAGCCACTTCCAGTTTTCTGGTAGTTAATTGGAGATGAGAGTCTCATGGACTTTCCTGCCCAGGCTGACTTTGAACCGTAATCCTCAGATCTCAGTCTCCAGAGTATCTAGGATTACAGGCGTGAGCCACCAGCGCCCAGCCTGGCTTTGCTTTTTTAATCCTCCATAATACTGATGGTCTTCCCCACTCCTTCATCTTTTCTTCCATCCCAGTACATGAAGTGATTATTCTCTTTCCAGAGTGTGCACGACTAAAACGGCCTAAGCCCTGGTGTAGCTAAGAAGCTAGGTACAGATACGGATAGGTCCACTGCTAAAGGAGAGGTCCTCCTTTGGAACTCTAAGTAAAGTTCCTGCCCGAACTCACCTCACTGCTGAGAGCTGTGAATTTGCACAGAGAGATGATGAGATTGTCAAACACATCGCTGAGGCCATAGTGGGCGGAGATCATGGCACACTTCCTGTAATGTCACCCCCATCCCCAAAACAGAGTCACTGGAAGGTCAATAACCCTTCCAAGTCCCTGTGGAGGTTTACATGGGGTTCTACCCCAATCAGTCCCAGGAAGAAACCTTTCACACTAGTCTTTAAGACAGATTTCCCCTAAGCTACAGTGTCCCTCTACAAACTCAGGAAGAACCCCATTCTCAGGAAAGGAAGAGTAAAAGTTACAAGAGGTAACCATGTTAGCTTTTGAGAGATAGGAGGAGATAAAGGCCAAAACCAAAGCTGACCTACCTGAAGCCTGAGATGGCTTTCTGGATGATTGTCTCTTCAAGGCTTTTGTCAAAGACATAAGAAAGAGCAGCAATAGTGGGGCCCCAAGTCATAGTGAAGAGGTCGAGATCATAGCTGCCAGGAGGCACTCGGAGGAATATTCCCTCAGGGGTGGCACCACGATGAAGAATCACATTCCACACATAGTTCTCACGAACTAAGCCAGTCTGTTCCTCAGGCATCACAATTTCCTCATTCCTGTTAAGAGATAAGGGAAGGAATAGGTGAATCTGGGTGGTTCCAAACTAGGACAAGGGCCTTTGTGAATACAGCCATCTTCCATCAACATGAGGTAATCAAAACTGCAGCTCAGCAATCTGTTTCCTACCCTGGGAGGAAGAAGGGAAAGGAAGTGTCCTATAGTCTTCAAATTCTATCTTTAAGTAGGGCCTTCAGTTCTGTAATAAGACTTCATATTCTTCTGCTATTGAAAGGATTAAATAATTTCTTCTTTTTCTAATTTATAATAAAGAACTAAGTGTCTTATCTCTGACCTAAGCCTCACTTTTTAGTGCCCATTTTAACTTCTATACCAGCCACAGAATGCAGCCACAGTATCCAGTTACTTTAGGTTCAGGAAATGAGACAATGATACCTCACTTAAGGGTAGCAGTTTGTGCTGGGGATATAGCTCAATGACAGAGCACATTTTAATTAGCATGTGTGGTGCTTTGGGTTGAGTCCTCAGGGAGGAAAAAAAGAGTGGCAGTTTATATAAAGCCTGGCTTAAAGTAACAGAGCTCCAATATTGTCCAAGCTTCTCTAAAAAAAAATACACGTTGTTGGAGTGGGTTGCTCCTAAATCCTGAGATTAAATCTGGGGCATTATAAATGACTGATGTGATTCTGAGAAAGGAAGCAATGTGCCTCTCCTTAATGGAGATGCTATACTTTTCTCTCTCTCTCTCTCTCTCTCTTTCTCTCTCTCTCTCTCTTCCTTCCTTCCTTCCTGTCTTTTCTTTTTCTTCTTTCTTTCTTTTTTTTTTTGTTGTTGGTCATGGGGCCTGAACTCTGGGCCTGGGCACTGCCCCTCAGCTTTTTAGCATAAGGTTAGTGCTCTACCACTTGAGCCACAGCACCATTTCCGTTTTTTTCTGTTTATGTGGTGCTAAGGAACCCAGGGCCTCATGCATGCAAGGCAGGTACTCTACCACTGAGCCACCTTCTCAGCCCCACATTTTTCTTTATATATACTCACTTAATGGCATGGTACATGTCCTCCAGGATGTCTTGCTCAAAATCCTTGCCTCCATTCACACCTTTTAGGTTTTTTCGAAACTCCTAGAGACAGACCAGTAAGTTTTTCCTGCTTTGTATCAATGTTGAAGCCCCACCCAATGAAAAAATTAAGTGAAATAACCCACCTTCCTCTTCAACCCAGTTCTTCCCTGATCCCCAGAACTCTGTCCACTGTGCCCAGGGGAAACCCCATGCCCTTCTGGCTATCTCCAAAGCTGCACTTATCTTCTCTGCATTGGTTGGGACCCAGGCTTACCTCCAGCGTCATGGGTGCATTTTGTTTGCGAACATTGTGGTTGTGCTGATCAGTGTTCAGCATGATGACAGCATAGGCCAGGGCAAAGCAAGCATCGCTATTGGCAAATGGGGAGCCATTACAATTCTGAAAAAGCAAAGAGCCCACCTGAGTCAATGCCCTGTTTTGGCCAATGAAACCCTCACTATCAATCCCCTGGTCAGTGCTGGCACAGAGAGGAGGTGTTACCTAGAAAGTGGGCAAGCTCTTGCCAATTTCTTTGCTTTTTCTTTTTTTGCCAGTTTTGTGATTTAAACTCAGAGCCTGGGCATTTTCCTTCAGTTTTTTTTTTTTTTGGCCAGTCCTGGGGCTTGAACTCAGGGCCTGGGCTCTGTCCGAGCCTCTCTATGCTCAAGGCTAACACTCTACTACTTGAGCCACAGAACCACTTCTGGCCTTTTCTGTTTATGTGGTACTGAGGAATCGAACCTGGGGCTTCATGCATGCTAGGCAAGCACTCTACCACTAAGCCAACATTTCCAGTCCCTCAGCTGCTTTTGCTCAAGGCTAGTACTCTACTACTTGAGCCACTGAGCCACAGAGCCATTTCTGGCTTTTTCTATTCATGTGGTACTGAGGAATTGAACCCAGGGCTTCATGCATGCTAGGTAAGCACTATACCACTAAGCCATATTCCCAGCTCAGCTTTTGGCTATTTCAGACATTTCTACGACTTCTCCATGAAAAGCTCATTGTTTGCTTTTGTTTTCTTTTAAGTTTTAGCAAGCATTTATTTTAGTATGACTGAGTTATAGGGAGAAATGAAGAAGAGAGAAACACTTCCTGGAGAGCTTGTACAGGAGATGGGAGTTAAAGACTCCTCTTAGCCTTCTTTAGAGACAGCATGAGTGTTTTGATTGGGGCCCACAGAAGTCTTCAAGCTGATCTAAGGGGCTCTGCTCCTGCAACTCAGACTCACTCACCCTCCAATGTTCAGTGAATGCCTCCAGCAACCTGTGGATGACTGGTGCCTCCCCAGGCAAACGGAAGGCTTCTAGGTAGAGGCGGAGAGCTTCATCGAGCCGCAGACCCTGAAAGCTGAAGGTGCTAAAGGGAAAAAAAAGCAGAACTAAGAAGCTGGAGATAGAAAAGCTGCACAGGTTGGGCTGTTAGCCCAGTCCAGAACCCTACCCTGCCCTCATTTGCAATGTTCTCCATGTAAATGGAAGGCTTCCAAAGGTGTCTTACTGGAGTCCCTTTCAAGTACAACAGATATAACTGATGGAAGAAGCAGAATGCGTGACCTGGTCATCATTACGTCATCAGATATACTCTGAAGGGATGCCATGTTCCCCACTTTTATTTTCTCCCTTTGCTTCTCCTTCCCTTTCTTTCTGTAAGACTGGAGATCAAACCCAGTATGCTAGAAAACATATGTATGCTAGAAAAACATTCTACTAAGGTACACAATTATTCCTGACATTTCTTATAATTTCCTTACCTCACAAAACTCTCCAACAGGTCAATGTTTTTTCGATCACTCACAAATTCTCCAATCATTTTCTTGTCCAGCCGAGGGTTCTCTCTGAGCCATTGGGCTACCTCTGTGTTATCCATTGGGATGGTGAGGAGGCCCTTCTCCTGTAGAAACTGTATCCCCTTCTTTGGTTTCTGGTTGAACTGCTCTGTACCAGTTATTAGCAGCTGGAGAAGAAAAACTAGAGGTGTCAGAAGCCACTCTGCCCTTAAATCAAACAAGGTTAGGCAGACTCTACTAAAGCCCCCAGCTTGTTACCTAATGAGCCCATAGGACATGGCTCATAGTGATTCTACAAGTAAGAATGGATCATATTAGCTCCAGTTTTCTCTTATCTCTTTGTTTCATTCGAAGTATCAGAGGAGCTCCTTGCCACTCTTTTGGTGTGTTCAAAATGCAAGGACAGCCTCCTTCTCCTCTAATTTGGGGATCAGAAAATATGAGAAGAAGGCTGGGAAGGTGGCTCAGTGGTAGAGCGCTAGCCTTGAGCTGAAGAGCTGAGGGACAGCGCTCAGGCCCAGAGTTCAGGCCCCACTTCCGGACCAAAAACAAACAAACAAACAAAAGAAAATATGAGAAGAGACTAGAGTTTTCTTCAGGTTATATTCATCCTTATTCCCCTCCACATGTATGGATGTATGTATCTGCATATATACATATATACACACACACACACACACACACACACACGTATGTATGTATGTATATTGGGGAGGGAGGCTGGTCCTGGGGCTTGAACTCAGGGACTGAGTTTTTTTTAGTCAAGTCTAGTGCTCTATGACTTGAGCCACAGCTCCACTTCTGGCCTTTTTTTGGTGGTTAATTAGAGATAAGAGTCTCATGGACTTTCCTGCTTGGGCTGGCTTCAAACCATGATCCTCAGTCTTCTGAGTAGTTAGGATCACAGGCATGAGCCACTGACATAGGGCTCATTCCTTAGTTATAGTTTAGCTTAGATTCTTCTTTGCTTTTTTGTTTATTTGTTCATTTGTGGGACTTGAAATCAGGGCCTGGGTGCTGTCTCTAAGTCTTTCTTTCAAGGCTCTACCACAGTGCCACTTCCGTTTTTCTGGTGGTTAATTGGAGGTAAGAGCCTCACAGATTTTCCGGCCTGGGCTGGCTTTGAACTGCAATCCTCAGACCTCAGAGTAGCTAGGATTATAGGTGTGAGCCACCTGTGCCCAGCTCTCTCCTTTGCTTTTTTGGTTGCTTGGTTCTTAAGGTTCTGAGTTTGAAAGACCAGGTAGACTGATTATAGTGAGCACTTTGGTCCCTTTGTTGTCCAGTTGCAGCCCTGCAATCAAGGGCACATATAAGCCAGTCATTTATGGCTGGCAATAAGAGGAAGAAAAGGCAGTAGAAAATTTTCTTTGTGTTAAGAAAACTAAAAGCATGAACAGTTATTTGAACTTTACTAAGGTTCTAGAATAAATGTTCTTTTATTGGTAGTCATTATGTTGGGGCTAGACATGACCAATAACCTTTGGTGACTCACATGACGCCAGTTTCCAAGACTTCTGGCACCAGAAACAGTTAACACCTGCCTATCAGCTGCAGTTAGAGCCTGCTCAAGGGTAAACAGTAGCATTGCTTATCTACATGGCTTAAGAGGAAAACAGGAAGGTCTTGAGATGGGGAGGTTACAAATGTCCCAGGAAACCTGAAGCTTAGTAGCCACAAAAAGCTTGTAAAGGGGGGTTGGGAAGGTGGCTCAGTGGTAGAGCGCTTGCCTTGCATGCCTGAGGCCCTGGGTTCGATTCCCCAGTACCACATAAGCAAAAAGAAAAAAAAGCCGGAAGTGGCGCTGTGGCTCAAGTGGTAGAGCGCTAGCCTTGAGGTGAAGAGCTGAGGGACAGTGCCCAGGCCCAGAGTTCAGGCCTGTGACTGGACCACCCCCCCCCAAAAAAAAAAAGCTTGTAAAATCTCCCTGATCCTCATCCTTTAGGACAGAAACCTTACAAAGGACACTAGATAGAAGTGGGCAAAGTCTGAACTCTAAGGAATATATGTATGTATACATCTATACCTTCTTTTTGTTTTTAATTTCAATTAGTTCCCGTGGATCTGGCAGAAGAGAAGAAAATCGAGGTGGCTTCCGGGTAAATTTTTTGTCAGCTAGAAATGAGAAGAAGAGAGGGGAACACCCATAAGAGTGATTTTACCAGGACTTCTAGAAGGTCACTAATACATTCTCTAATGTTAATTTGCTTTCTTAGATCTGTCTGTCCATCCATCCATCCATCCATCCATCCATCCATCCATCCATCCATCCATCCATCCATCCATCCATCATCCCAGGGTTTTAAACTCAGAACTTTGTGTTTGGTAAGTAGGTGCTCTATTACTTGAGCTATAACTCCAGTCCAATACTCTCCAGTGAAAAGGATGAACCCTAGAAATTGTCTTGTCCTCACGAGTCTCCTACACACTGGAATTCTTATTTCTGGAACTAAGTATTTTGTTTCTTCTCTGGGTGAAACCCAGGTGAGCTGCCAAGTTTCACTCAGGTATGACCCTAGGTTGTTGCTATGCTCCCCGCTCTCTGTTTCCTACCAGGACCTGTAGTAGAGGGAATTTAAGGTCATGGAAACCGGATACTCACGCCCAGAATCACCAGCTTCCTCTAGATCACTGCCTCCTAGCTTCCCATGTTCAGCTGGTAGTCTCCCTCCTGCTGACAGATGCAGGCCTGGGACATCTGGGGCCAGGCTTATGGATTTCCCATCACTGGGAGCTCTCTCAACTACCATGAAAAAAATATATGGAAAGACTTGTAAGTAGAAGTCAAGCAAAGCTACATGGGTTAAGTCTCAAGCTAAAAGCTAAATGTTCCCATACAGGGGACCAGCCATGGCAGGACAAATCAAATAGTATGAGCCAAACATTAGATTCTATAACAAGAGATTATCTAATTTTCCCTGAACTTAATCACAAAGGAGAAACAGAAGATTATAATTAAAAGTGAAGGAAGATACTGGAGATAGGAAAAGGAAGGGCCTGGAGCTTATAGGCACAGAAGTCCTATAGCTTTTTATCTCTTTCTCTTGCTACAAAGAAATAATTATTCTGTAAAAATCCCAAAGTGGGGCTGGGGGGCTGATGCCTGTAATCCTAGCTACTCAGGAGGCTGAGATCTGAGGATCATGGTTCAAAGCCAGCCCAGGCAGGAAAGTCCGAGAAACTCTAATCTCCAATAAACAATCAGAAAACAAAGTGGAGCTGTGGCTCCAGTGGTAGAGCGCTAGCCTTGAGCCGACAATGTCCAGGTCCAGAGTTCAAGCCCCACAACCAACGAAAAACAAAACAAAACAAACAAAAACCAAAGTGGGGAGAAGAAAGAGAAAGTCTATGAGTTCTGCTAATTTGCCTGACTGGCCTGTGACTCAATTCTGGAAACAGAATTTAGAATATATTAGAAATTAGAATATATATATAAGGATGGGAAAAATGACTCAGCAAGGAGAACGGATAAACACAGAATTTTGAGAACATCAAAAAGAAATGGCTGGGGGGCTGGGAAGGTGGCTCAGTGGTAGAGCACTTGCCTTGCATGCATGAGGTCCTGGGTTCGATTCCTCAGCACTACATAAGCAGAAAAATAAAGCCAGAAGTAGTGCTGTGGCTCAAGTGGTAGAGCGTTAACCTTGAGGTGAAGAACTGAGGGACAGTGCCCAGGCCCAGAGTTCAGGCCCACGACTGGACCTCCCCCAAAAAAAATTAAAAAAAAAAAAAAAGAAATGGTTGGGCACGTGGTGGCTCACACCTGTAATCCTAGCTACTCAGGAGGCTGAGATCTGAGGATCCAGGTTCAAAGCGAACCTGAGTAGGAAAAGTCCGTGAGATTCTTATCTCCAATTAACCACCAGAAAACCAGAAATGGCCCTTTGGCTCAAGTGGTAGAGCACTAGCCTTGAGTTAAAGAGCTCAGGGAGGGCTGGGAAGGTGGCTCAGTGGTAGAGCACTTGCCTTGTATGCATGAGGCCCTAGGTTCAATTCCTCAGTACCACATAAGCAGGAAAAAAAAAGCCGGAAGTGGTGCTGTGGCTCAAGTGGTAGAGTGCTAGCCTTGAGGTGAAAAGCTGAGGGACAGCGCCCAGGCCCAGAGTTCAGGCCCACGACTGGACTCAAAAAAAAAAAAAAGTGCTCAGGCCGACACCCAGGCCCAGAGTTCAAGCACAAAGGAAAAAAAGAAAGCAGGAATAGGGAAGATGGGCCCTTCTCAGCACAAAAATCCAGGGAGGAACTGGTAGAGTACTTGCCTAGTGTGCATGAAGCCCTGGGTTCCATTCCTCAGCACCATATACACTGAAAAAGCCAAAAGTGGTACTGTGGCTAAAGTGGTAGAGTGCTAGCCTTAAGCACAGAGAGGCTCAAGGGCAGTGCCCAAACAAACCCTGAGTTCAAGTCCCAGGACTGGCAAAAAAAAAAAAAAAAAAAAGAAATGAGAGAGAGTGGGAAAAAGAACAAGAGAAGCTGGGCGCTGGTGGCTCATGCCTGTAATCCTAGCTACTCAGGAGGCTGAGATCTGAGGATCATGGTTCAATGCCATCCCAGGCAAGAAAGTCCATGAGATTCCAATTAACCACCAGAAAACTGGAAGTGGTGCTGTGGCTCAAGTGGTAGAGTGCTTGCCTTGAGCTGAAGAGCTCAAGGACAGTACCCAGGCCCAGAGTTAAAGTCCCATAACTGACAAAAAAGAAAAAAGAAAAGAGAAAGAGAGAAAGGAGCAAAAGGGAAGACAGGAGGGAGGGAGGGAGAGAAGGAGGAAGGAAAGAAGGAAGGAAGGAAGGAATGAAGGAAAGAAGGAAAAAGAAATGCGCCTTACTGTCTACAGCTTCTCGGGTGCCATCTACTGCTTCATAGCTGGTTCTGGCTGTCTCTTTTTTTTCTTGCTGGGTGAGGTTGTTGAGGACTTTGGCTTGACAGTGGGCCTCAGTGCTGTCAATCACTGTCAACAGGGCATCAAGAGATAGTAGGTGTGTTGTATAGAGTTGACCAGACACAGGGAAGGCATTCTGGAAAATAAACATATCCATCAGATTTGAGGTTAAGAGAATACTTTAGTTGATCACCCAAGAAAGAAAAAAAAAAAATTGTCTCCTCAATTGCCCTTATGAAGTGCCTTTCTTCTTCCTGTTTCCCATCTCTGAGTATTCTCCACCCTGAATGTAGCATCTTCACTACCACCAGGGAGGCTTCTTTAAAAAGAGCCTTCTTTCTAGAGGCCAATAATAGTGCTCAGCACCTTGGACAGCAGCTTAGTGAGGTCCTCAAAGAGGTTGGAACAGTAGTAGTCACAATCATAGTTGATATACAGTTCTGTGACAAAACTGGGGATGCGCCAGAGCTGCACAATGGCCTCCAGTGCCATCTCCTTCATCTCATAAGGCATCTTGGGATTTTCCACAGTGATGATCTCCATGAGCTTTTTGATGTACATCTGGCGACCACCAGTAGAAGAGAAAATTGGACAGGAAAAATATTAACAGGAGGCAGAAACCCAGACAAAAGTCATACATTAAGATATACTTACAGGTGAAAACATATCCTGGTATATATATCCCCCTACTCATCTCCATATCAGGGTATAAAACCTGGCCCTTTTCCTTATTCCTAATTCAAAAGAAGTTGTTGCTTTCTGTGTTCTCTATGTGAACCAGCTTAGTTCTTTCTTTCTCTTTTTTATTTTTTTTGGTCAGTTGTGGGGCCTGAACTCTGGGCCTGGGCACTGTCCCTCAGACTTTCAGACCTTCAGCTCAAGGCTAGTGCTCTACCACTTGATCCATAGCACCACTTCCAGCCTTTTCTGTTTATGTGGTGTTGTGGAATTGAACCCAGAGCCTCATGTATGCAAGGCAAGCACTTTACCACTGAGCCACCTTCCCAGCCCCCAGCTTAGTCCTATAAGAGTTTCCTTTTGCAATTTAGTAACAGTTCTGGCTTGACTTGTAAGAGGAACTCCTGGGATGAAGACCTGCTCCCACTGAAGGTGAAGTTACATGCCAGGCTTTATATTTGGGCTCTCCTTCTTTATAGTCAGCCATTTTTCTTTGGGGTTCTTTGAACTTTTCTACTACAGAGCCAGTCAAAAAAACAAACTAGAGGCTAAAGCACCCTCCTAGAGAAAGCCCATAAATCCTATCCCTGTAGCATAACAGGCTGGCTCCACTGAAGATGCCATATATCTGGTTTTGTTTTTCTTTCTCATCCAAGATCAAGAAACTTACCTCTAATTGGAACTTGAGGTGCTCCCGCATGCTCTCAAACAGTAGGAAGCATACTCGCAGGGAAGCAGCATACAGGTTCAGTCGTTCTACACTGAGTAGCTGGAGATTAGAGAATAAGATTGTTGTTGTTTTTTGGTTGGTTGTGGGGCCTGAACTCTGGGCCTGGGGGCTGTCCCTCAGCAATTCAGCTCAAGGCTAGTGCTCTACCACTTGAGCCACAGCACCACTTCCAGCTTTTTCTGTGTATGTGGTGCTGAGGAATAGAACTCAGGGCCTCATGCATGAAAGGCAAGCACTTTATCACTGAGCCACCTTCCCAACCCTAGAGGATAGGTTTTCAAAGTTGATTGATTCAGCCGACAGTCAGGAGAACAAATTGGTGAAGCTGCCATAGAATGACTGAACACTGAAGGAACTCTATCTACTACAATCCTCGGAAAGCTACTAGAACTCCTTTACTTATAAATAACTGTGAGGAAGGTACTTTCTTGGGACCCATACTCTGCACAATTGGCCAAACCATCCTCCCCCTGCCTTTGAGAGACCCTGAAAAACAGATAGGGGCTAGGAGCAATAAGATCTTACCTGAAATAAGTGGCGACACATTTCATCCTTGATAAGACCCAGGAGGGTCTGGCATTGGGCCACAGGTGCTGATTCAAGGGCCACCGTCAGTAAATGCAGTCCCATGTGGATCATAACCTCTGAGTTGTGGCGGTCATGTGGGTTGGTGAGGGAGATAAGGAAGCGGAAGAGCTCACGGATACAGGGAAGACCATAAGGTACCAGAGCTGTGCCTGGGAATGTGAGAAATGAGACTGCTAAGAAACAACCAGCCTGCTGGCTCAGCCCAACCCATCTGTGCCAACAGTTTGAAGGCTGGACTACATTTTCTGCCTGGAACATAGCCTAAAGTAGGACCCAGAGGCAACAGTGACCTTGGTCCAACATGATCTAGACTCAGGCAGCTTAGAGGGCAGGATGAGGGAGGGAGAGTGAGTACCAACCTTCTTTCTGGGAGGACTGTGTAAAGCGTACACCCCGGGGGTTGACATAATCCATGTCATGGACTGAGGCAGAGTCAGAGTGATCAGCAGGGGATGTGCACTCCTCTAACACTTCAGGGATGGATTCCACTGATGCTGACTGGGCTTTTTCCACGTGAGCCCCTTCCTGCTATGACCAGCAGCAGGCAGAAATAATAGGAACAAGGTTAAGTCAAGGGTAACTTAGAACTTATTCCTCTCAAGTCCAAGCAATCTCCAATGGACTTCAAGGGGGAGATTCAGTTTGGTGGTTTATGAATCAATGAAAGAGATAGCTCAGGGCAGGAATAGGACAAAGGACTCAGAAAACATCTCCTGAGGTGTCATTGATTTATAGTGACTAAAACTCTATAAGATGCAGAAAAAGCCATGGTCAGCTCCTTCCCTTTTGCCAGAGACTACCATAAATACTACATTGCATAACCTGATAAATACCCTGAGCCCTCTCTCACAGTGTGTTATACTGTCGGCTTTTCTGGGAAGTACAGCTAATTCTGAGCAACAGGGAAGAACTTCCTCCCTTAAGCTTGTTTTGAATTAAGGTCTGGCCTGGACACAAGATCTAAGAGACTAAGCCAGTTCTCAGAGTGGAAGGCAGAAGAGGGACCTCTAGAAATCAAAGTCATACCTGGGGGTCAGGCTGATCAGAAACCCCTAGCTCAGCGCTCCCAGGCTCTGCAGCTGTGCTTTCCCTTGGAGAAACAGGTTGCTCCAGGTCAGTGAGATCCTCCTTGGAGGTGGTCTGGGATGAGAATTCCACACCACTGTCTGTAGAGGGGCTGACCACTGCTGAGGCAGCTTCTGAACTTGCAGAGGAGATGGGTGTGGGCACATCGATGAAGGGCATGCCACCTGCCAAGAAAAGTGAAGCTTGAAGGAGAAGAGAGACTCTGTGGGCAACACATACTCTCCAAAGGTACAAGATGATCTGTTTCTCCAACTGCATGCTCACCTATGAATATGCTTGTCTCTAAAATAGTAAGAGTTTTTCTTACCTCTGTAAGAAAAACAATCTTAAAGAACAACTTTTAAGTTGCTGTGGAATTGCTGAGTAGTCACAGTCTGATGTGAAGTATAATTGTTTCTTTTGCTCTACCATTTAAGTCACAGCACCACTTCTGGCTTTTTCTGTTTATGTGGTACTGAGGAATCAAACCCAGAGCTTCATGCATGCTAGGCAAGCACTCTACCACTAAGCCACATCCCCAGCACCAAGAAGCTTTTCTTTTGTTTCTTCTTCTTCTTTTTTTTTTTTTGGTCCAGTCATGGGGTCTGAACTCTGGGCCTGGGCGCTGTCCCTCAGCTCTTCAGCTCAAGGATAGCGCTCTACCACTTGAGCCACAGCAACATTTCCGGCTTTTTTCTGCTTATGTAGTGCTGAGGAATCGAACCCAGGGCCTCATGCATGGGAGGCAAGCACTCTACCACTGAGTCAACTTCCCAACCCTTCTTTTGTTTCTTCTAATCAGAAGAAACAGCCCAGGACACTCACCAGTGAGGTTAGAGGATAAGGTGGCTCCATTTGGAGTGGACTCGGAACTTGGTGTGACTTTGGTCATATGACGTGGAGGTCGGGGAGATCTCTTCTGTTTCTTCCATTTGGATGAATCACTCATTCCTCCTGCTCTCATTTTCAGCTGGAAATACCACACCTCGTTAGCACTCTAGGAGTATTCTGACTAAGACTACCCCTAGAAACAGCTCTTCACTTAGTTCTTCTGGTCTCTACAAAAATAGTCTATTCCCTACATCTGTGCTAACACAAGGACCTAGACCATCAGACCACATTCTTATGATTTTAACCTAACTCCTACTCTCTCCAGGGAAACCAGCCTCCACATGGACTAGTCGTTGATAGGGCCAGCTATTTTGGCCTACAGGCTCATGGACTCCTGGGCTTTACTTAAGTACTCTGCACAGCAGCCCCCTACCACTAGTTTTTATGCAACTATGCGCACCAAACTTATAGCTTTCTTATTATTGTATGGATTGAGCCTAGACCATAAAAGTATAGGCCCTACTCTAGAAATTCCACATCAAATTGATCAAAGAATAATTCCTTAGAGTTAGAAAAGAAAGAACATCCTAGGGTGTTTATTTGTGGAGTTGAGGGTGGAGGATCATGTCCTCCATTGCTCTGTTCCCAGTCTGAGTATACAAGCAGGACTTCTAGTTCTTCTCTCTACTGCCTTTTCTGGCTGGAATTTTTAGGAATTTGTTCAATTCCTTCTGATGTTTGGGAATAGGTTCCCTTTCTTAAGCTCCCCCACACTCTTAGACCTGACTAACCTTTGATTTTCTTGCTTAGAAACCACATAAAAGAATAAAAGCGCAAAAGCTGAGCCTTTCCCCAGTTCTTAACATAGTAACAGCTTCACATTGGATTCACACTTTTGTCCTTCCATCTCCAAAATGCCTGCAGTTATTCACCTAGTCTGAGCTTCAACTATTTGAGCACTATGGCTAAATAGGAACCAGGATGCTCTCTCTAGGAACCACTGCAGCTCAGCTAGATCAAATTTATGCTAAAAACTGATCTCTGAGAGCTGGGCACTGGTGGCTCATGCCTGTAATCCTAGCTACTCAGGAGGCCGAGATTAGGAGGACAGTGTTGAGGTCAGCCCAGGCAAAAGTTTTAGAGATCCCATCTCAGCCAGTAAAAAGCTAAGTATGGTAGCACACACTGTTGTCCCAGCTACATAATCAAATAGGAAGATAGTGGTCCAGACCAGTCTGGACATAAATACAAGATCCTATTTGAAAAATAAAACAAAAGCCAGGTGCCAGTGGCTCATGCCTGTAATCCTAGCTACTCAGGAGGCTAAGGATCGCAGTTCAAAGCCAGCCCAGGCAGGAAAGTCCATGAGACTCTTATCTCCAATTAACCACCAGAAAACTGGAAGTGGCACTGTTGCTCAAGTGGTAGAGCACTTGCCTTGAGCTGAAGAGCGCAGGGACAGTGCCCAAGCCCAGAGTTCAAGCCCCACGACCAACAAAAAAAAAAAAAAGAAAAAAGGAGTAGTAGCATGGCTGAAATGCTAGCCCAGCAAGTGCTTAAAAACAAAAACAAAAATAAAAAAAAAACAAGGGGCTAGGAAGGTGGCTCAGTGGTAGAGTGCTTGCTTTGCATGCATGAGGCACCACATAAGCAGAAAAAGCCAGAAGTGACGCTGTGGCTCAAGTGGTAGAGTGCTAGCCTTGAGCTGAAAAGCTGAGGGACAGTGCCCAGGCCCAGAGCTCAGGCCCCATGACCGACAAAAAACAAAACAAAAAACAGTACTGCCGGGTGCTGGTGGCTCATACCTTAATCTTAGCTATACAGGAGGCTGAGATCTGAGGATCACAGTTCAAAACTGGCCCGGGAAGGAAGTCTATGAGACTCTTATTTCTAGCTAACCACCAGAACACTGGAAGTAGCACTGTGGTTCAAAGTAGTAGAACACTAGCCTTGAGTAAAAGAGCTCAGAGACAGTGCCCAGGTCCTGAGTTCAAGCCCCACGACCAACTAAAAAAAAACAAAAAACAAAAAACTGGATCTACTTTTATGAAATAGTCTTTCTCTTGAAAAGGTTTTTGCATTTTAGTCTAGCTTCCACTGAGAACCAGTGCCAGTCATTGACATTGCTTCCATACCACCATCAGTCTTTCCTGTTTCTTTTGCTATCTGTTGCAAAGTTAGCTCCGACTTGGTCATTTCAATGAGTGTTCTTGGCTTCCTGGCTGCAGTGGGGGCTTAGAAAGCTGGCAGCTCTCACAAATACTTTAGCCTTTAAAAAGTGATATTTTTTGCCTAAGGCACAAGCAAGCGGTGGATGTTTATGGAACCCTATACCCCTTTATCTGTATAATTCCATACGTCAAAGGACAACAGAAGCTTTACAAAAAAAGAGAGTAGGTTCTAGGTTAATAATCATGGCAATGTGCTGGGTAACCACTGATGCAAATACAAAGGAAACTCTGACAATGCATTCAAAGAGGACATAGGTCTATGGACTATCTACACTAATGGGACACACACACACACACACACACACACACACACACACACACACACATTATTTCTGTCTCCAATGACCTAGATGTTACAATTACACTTCCAGTATGCATATTATTGGACTAGATAGCTTAGATGTCCCCTACCTCTTTCTCTCTCTCCTCTTCTCCTTTTTTTATTTTTATTTTTGTGCCAGTCCTGGGGCTTGAACTCAGAGCCTGGGTACTGTCCCTGAGCTTCTTTTGCTCAAGGCTAGCACTCTAACACTTGAGCCACAACACCACTTTCAGTTTTTTTCTGTTTATATGATACTGAGGAATCAACCCAGAGCTTTATGCATGCTAGGCAAGCACTTTACCACTAAGCCACATTCCCAGCCTCCTCCTTCTTCATAAAGTAGAGATATGGGGACTAGGGTAATCTTTAGTTTGGACTCCTCCTCTAAGCTTCTTTACATCTTGACTTTTCAAAGATACAGGGTATCTTTACAGATCCCAGAGTGTTCCCAATGTCCTGGCTATCCTGGTACCTGCTTCCTTTCTATCAATCTAAAGCTCTAAACCTTGGAATGATTCCTTTAGTGGTAATCAAGAAAAACAAGACTCACTAAACTACTGCTCCTCACCAAACTAGCACACATATCCAAATCTACTTGGAGATTATACTTAAGCTCTCTGTCCTAGCTCTAAGATAGGGAAAGGGTAAAAAAGGGAAGTCTTGCTTGGAAGTCCAGGTCTTAAGTCTCACCATACAATGACAGCTCGGACCCAGGCTCTCTAGGTTATATAATATTCAAAGCTTCCTTCTGCCTCTAGGCAATCAGAGGTCCCAGGAGAATTCCCAACACTGCAAAGTCATAAACACACGCAACTTTTCTAAAGCCAACCTGTGTTACTAGGGAGAGGTTAAGTTGTGCTCTACACAATGGAAATGGGACCCGGGTGTTACAAAAATAAAAAATAAGTATTTAAAGAAATAAAAAAGGGAAAAGGAGAAGGGGAGGGAGAGGGAGAGAGACCTTGAGGTTCTTAAAGAGTAGTACCCTCTCTAACTGGTTCAGGGCTTTGGTCTGCTCCCCACTACTTAGCTCCAGTTTGTTGAGGAGACATGGAGAAATCTGTGAAAGACAGGCAAATGCACGATTTAAACAGAGTGAAATAAACACACACACTAACAGGGAAGGAATGGGGATGGATAGCAGGAACAGGGGAAGGTCAGGTGCATGCACCAAATAGCCAAGGTCATCTCTGTGAGTAGAACCTCTTAAGGGTACAAGCAGAATCCTCACTAGTGGCCTGTGAAGTCCAGGACTTCTGTTCAAGACAGAAAGAGGCCATACTTCTAACCACCCTTCTCCTACTCCCTTTGATCTGGATCCCAGCTTAATTTCTCTCTTAACAGAGACTAGTACAAGAGTGTGCCCACTTTTACCCAGCATTACATTTTGTAACACAGCTTCTCTAGGACTCCTACCTGAGCCTTGAGGAGATGGCCGTGCCAACATTTTTTTTTTTTTTTTTGGTCGGTCGTGGGGTCTGAACTCTGGGCCTGGGCGCTGTTCCTCAGCTCTTCAGCTCAAGGCTAGCGCTTGACCACTTGAGCCACCTTCCCAACATATGTTTTTAACCCAGCCTGGGGGCCTGTTTCCATGAAGGACCAGATCACCAGCTTATGCAGTGGGCCAACAAATACAACCCAAAAAGGCAACACTGGGGAAGGAGAGGTATCTGGGAGAAAATGAATTTCTCACTAAAAGAGTGAGAACTATTTCTAGATTCCAAGCAGACCTGTCCAGACAAAAGCATGTCTTTGCTAGTAAGCAGGGGTATCCCATAGCACTGAAGTTCAGTGATTAAGGTTTAGACAGGGACAGCAATTAATTTCTCAGATCCTACCTTTTTCATGTTGGTCCCCACATAGCTCTTAGGTTCTTCTTTAAACTGAGGTAACCTGTAAGACAGAGAATCCCACTGACTGTCATTCAGGATGACAAATGGCCTCCTTTATGCAAGCCATAGCCAAAGGCACCATGGACCAGAGACATCCCTGTCTCTTAGGCATCAGGCTAATTTAACCCTTTTCAGAGTCATCAAAGAGCCAGAGGAAAAAATGGGGTAGACGATGGAAGGGGTGACATTGATCAAGATGCATTATTCGTATAACCTGACATGGAATTGCAATCTCTTTGTACAACTACATCATAATAATAAGTGAGTTACAGGAGCTGGTGTAGTAGCTTAGGTGGGTACCTGCTTAACAAGTATGAAGTCCTAAGTTCAAAACCTAGTACCTCAGGGCTGGGAAGGTGGCTCAGTGGTAGAGCACCAGCCTAGTAAGTGAGAGATTCTGAGAGTCCCAAGTTCCAGTAGTTTTTTTTTTTTTAAATCTTCAAGCTGGGAGCAGGAAGCTCATGCCTGGAACCCTAATTACTCAGGAGGCTGAGATCTGAGGATCACGGTTCAAAGCCAGCCCAGGCAGGAAAGTTCATGAGACTCTTAACTCCAATTAATCACCAGAAAGCCAGAACTGAAAAACAAAGGAGGAGGTAACAGTGCTCGATAGGAAATGTACTCATTACCCTAATCACGGAACTGTAACCCCTCTGTACAGTATTTTTACAATTAAAAAATATATATATATAAAAGAAAACTGGAATTGGCACTGTGGCTCAAAGTAGTAGAGTACTAGCCTTGAGCAAAAAAGCTCAGGACAATCCTGAGTTCAAGCCCCAAGACCAACAACAAAAAATCTGGGCATGGGTGGTTTGCACTTGTAATCCTACTCAGGAGGCTGATTTCTGGAAGATCAAGGTTTGAGACAAGTCTGGGCAGGAGTTTGGTAGACTCCATCTCTAAAAGTAACCAGCAAAAAGCAGGGCTGGAGGCATTGCTCAATGGTTATAAGTGCTAGTCAAGCAAGTACAAAGCCCTGTCAAACCACAAAGCTACATTTAAAAAAAAGGAGTCATAGGTGTTAGATATTTGACATGGACTAAAATGACAATCACCAGGGCAAAGTAATTAAGCAAGTATGTAGTATGGAGGTTCATTTCATTCTTAGCTAAGTCCTACTAAAAGCCAAGAGATGTGTTGAGGGCAAAAAGGGTAATCTATCAGAACCCCAGAAGACCAAGCATAGAGTGAAAAGCAAAAAACAAGTTGAGGTTCAGAAGCCAATAAATTTGAGTCCAAGAAGAAAGTCTTTGCATTAGGGTCCAAGAACAATCTAGTTGGTAGATAAAGATTATCATCTATAGATCTAAAAGCAAAAGAAATCTTAGGGGGAAGTTTTGAAGCCACTGCTTCAGTTCTTCTCAAAGCAAGTTAATGAAAGGAACTTTGGGAAATAGGTTTTTATATTTAGTATGAAAAGGCCTCTCAAGCTCTAGGCTTAAAGACCTTACTTACGGAAATCAACCACCTTGCTTTGCCTGAGACTGGGGAGGGTGGGAGGAGGGAGTTTGCCAGGACATAGAACTTGGACTGCTAAAATTAGGGCAGTCCCAGGTAAACCAAGTTAAGAGATCGGTTCTCATGATTGTTGTTCACCCTAGCCTTGGCCTTCTCTCACACAAATTAAGACTGAGATCTGGGAGCTCAGTAACTATTCCAGGCTCCCTTAAGTCTGGCTTCCTCTTTGGGCTCCCTTTCCCAGCTGCTATCTGCACAGAGACAGACACAAGTTTAGGAAGCAGAACAAGATCTGTCTACATAGATTAAATAACCTTCTACCTCCCCCTGAGGCCATGCCAGCTCCCTTCTTCTCCCTTGCTCAGTAACCCTGAGCCCAGAGAACTACCCCCATCCATAATCCCAGTGGCCTCTGATGTGGCTGTGGGGTTGGCCAGGTCCCCAAAGTGGCTGTGTGGAGGCAGGCAGACTCAAGAGGCCTGGGCAGCCGGGCTGAAGCAAACAGCAGCAGGTTTACCTTGTGAAGAGCAGCTGCACCATGTCTACGAGAGTGTGCTCTGCGGATTTTCTCAATAACTCTGCACAGGCAAAAACAAATAACACAGGTGTCATTACTTGCTGTGCTATTATCAGGAGACTTCTCAGAGCAGACTCCCCTCCAAACCTTGTTTACCAAGGATTATGCCAAACTTATTAAAACCAACTCCAGCTCAGCTGGCAGTCATAACTTCACTGGGCCACTAGGTGGCACTACCGAGTTAGGAAAAAAAAGGAGGGGGGAACTTGATGAGTTTTAGGCTGGTGTCAATCTCAGAAACCCCATGGGAAGGAGATTTGGTGTTGGGGTAAGTCAGTCTGGGATCCATCCCCATCCTTGCTCTGGCATAATGGGTTGAGATCTCTATTTTAGCTTTACAACAAATAGATCCCCAAGGCCCCACAAGGTAGAAAAGTCCATCTCTGGGGTACTTGAGACAGTATCCTGTATACATACACAGACATTTGCCTTGGAATAGTAAAGGAGTCAGTATTCAAGTACTTACCACTGAGCCTCATTTCAAAGCAGATCCGAAAGCAAGACTGCATAATCTCACATACAGATTCATTAGTCAGGTGGGAACCTACTGGAGTTAGCAATAGAGTCCGGAGAACCTTCCAGAAAGAAAGAGAAGACGTCATGATCAACAAGGTAGTTAGGTGAGGTTTACCTGAAGGAAAAAAAGCTACCTCTTGTTCCTCCAGTCCCCTAATGAAGTACTCAGGGGTAAGTTTTATATTATTATTATTAGTAATTTTAATTTCTTTTTTTTTTTTTTTGGG